CGTGATCGAACCATGAGGACAGGGGTTTCTGGGAGATTTATGGGGTAAAAATTGGGTTTTCTCATGTTTGCCCCTCTAAACGTAAAATTTTCGAATTTCTCTATAAGCCATTTTGAATACCATGATTGGATATTTTGCTAGTTTATGGTTATATTTTGATCAAACTAGGACAATTTATTTATTTTAACTTGTTCATATTTTAATTAAAAACACACTTTATTACCCCGTAGCAGCAAACCTAGTTAACACTAATTAAACTTTAGGTTATTGAAATAGATTTAATTGAAAATCAAGTCAGGCAAATGGAAACTCACTTAATCTGCAGGTTTGCTGCGGTGGGGGTATTTTGCCTATTCCATGAAATGCAGAAACGGCATCACAACCTGTCATTGCAAGGAAAATGAAAGATTGCTGCAGATTTCTGGAGAGAGTTGATAAAACAAAACACTAAACAATTTTTAATTATTTTAGTGATTAACAGCCGCCATTTTGAAATGGCCTAATCAAACTCGACCATTGACAAACTGGGATTATATATCGTATTCAAGCACTTGAATGCCAAATTTCATTAAAATCGGTTCAGGCATTTATTAATTCATAGCAACCCAGCATCCTCTTACGAGCGCCATATTGATGACGTCATTACGGGCGACCAAGGTCCTTAAAAATTGGGGTCCGAGCGGTTTTACATTCTTGGTCTTATATTTTATCTTCACCCTAAGTTGCAGGATCACCACCAGAACTGAAATATTTTTGCTACCCATACTTAGCCGTCAGTGTTAAGTCAAGACGACGATGGAGAAGAACGAGTTAGAGACCCTGACCATTCCATGGATGGTGATGATGCATCAGTAGCTGATGAACAATATGACATGTGGTGGTTAAAGAGGCGAAACTACCAGTTTATTGGTTAATTTTCCTCACAACTTTAACATTTGACACAGACTCATAGTCAATTTTGTAATACAGTGCTTGATATTAACTGGATTATTTTACCTTAATTAATTTGTCATATTTAGTTTTTCATTAATAAATTAGTCTTTTTTTAGTAAACCGTCGGTTGTATTGCTTTTATTTTGTTCTTTTTCGATTCTGCATCCTAAGAAACATAGACAACGACACCTCACTTGCTTGGATCCCATAAATAAAAATTTTCTCAAAATCACTACCCCCATAAAATGGTACTTCCACCCCCACTATCACTAGGGACTCTTCAGATTTCAAAACCTAATGGTAATTACTACGTTTCCTGCAAGTTTCATGAATGGACTAATTTTTATGTTTTCTACTGGTTTTTTGGTATAATTTTACCTGTACTAGATGTTGTAACTCCAACAGTAGGTCCCTTAGTTGCCATTAGCTGTTTGGGCTATTAATTAACAGCTGTGTCTAAGGAATGTCGGCCTTAGTCACTAACAAGACTACAAGATCGCGCCACTCATCCTACACTCATCTCCATTCATACTTGGCTTAAAATACCTACATTGTATGGTCACCATTTCATAAGAAAGTATTAAAGTAAAAGTTGTGCAACGAGCGGATCTGGAGGTACTAGGATTCTCTGGAAGGTTCCTCGGCCAACCTATACTGTATAAGGGACCGTCTTCGACCAATAACTGTACAAAAACTCGATGGTATAGTAAATTATTTTTTTTAAGCTCTTTAAAGTGGTCTAGAGAGAAATTGGGAAATTTTGTGTTTTGAGGGTCAATAATGAGAAAAACCAATTTTTACCCCATAAACCCCCCCCCCCCCCTAAAACCCTGTTCCCATGGTCCGATCATGCTGGTTCTCATTCAAGTTTATCCCGCCTTACGCCTTCAAACAAAATTTCATCAAAATCGGAAATAAATTACTTAAGTTGAACATAATTAATTTATTATTAATAAAAAAATTATAGTTCACGGACGTATATATATACACACGAGATAAAAGTTTAAACGAATAGTGTTTTTTGGGCTCTAGCGACATAAAAATGAAATACCCCCGCCGCAGCAAACCTGCCAACTAATCGAATTTCCGTATGTCTGAATTGATTTTCAATTAAATCAATTTAAATAATATAGGTTTAAAGAGTAATAGGTTTGCTACTACAAGGTAACTAATAAAGTAAATTTTTCAGTAAAAAAACTAATACCTTAGTAAACTTATATAGTCAATTAATTTGCCAAGTTTGATCAAAATATATAAAAAAACAAGCAAACTACAACATTTTGCAATAGTCTCCATAAGAACAACATGGGAATTTAAAATAATTTTTTTTTTAATTTTCTCCGTTACCAAGCTATTTAAAAAGGTCTAGCGAGAAATTGGTAAATTTTGTGTTTTGTGGGCCAAAAATGTGAAAAACCAATTTTCACCCCATTTTTTTGGATGACAATTGAATTTGTTTTGCATAGACGGATGTTTCATGAATATACAGATTATATACTTTAAGGGTTTGTAATTCCTTAAAATATCTCTTAACTGAATCCTTTTTTTGCAGTTTCATCATTAGACGAATAGCCCTCTTTTGTTTGATAAGGATAGAATCCAAATTGGTCTTTGATGTTGCTCCATAAATAGATATTCCATAAGATAGTGACTATGCAGTAATAAAAGTATATTATCCTCAAAGTGTCTATGCTGCAGATCTGAGACATCTGTCTCAAAGCACATACACCACAAGTCAATTTTTTAACAACATGTTTAACGTGTTTGTCCCAAGTGAGATTTTTGTCGGTAATTAATCCCAGAAATTTAGTCTGTTCAACTTGCTCTATCCTGTCATTGTTTATACAAATTTTTGCCTAAAAAATGGGTGTAGGATGAGTAGTGCGATCTTGTAGTCGTACTTGTTACTGACTAAGGCTGACATGTTCTTTAGACAGGACTTTAATTAATAGCCCATACAGCCAATGGCATCAATCAATCGACTAGAAATTTTTTTAGATGGGGACGCTAACTAGGTGCGTATTTTTACCCAAGTATAAGTGAAGGATAAGTGTAGAAAGGTGTGAGATGATCTGTGTAGCTTTGTTACTGACCAAGTTCAGCTGGTTCATCAGATAGAATAATTTATTTAAAGCCAAATGATAAGGAACAGCTGGATCCGGTTTCAAAATATTAAAAAGCTACTGTCTTTTCTCAGGATCGAACTGACGACCTTATGATTGCTAGGCGAGCAATATAACAACTCAGCTACCCAGCCAGTCATCTAAGGGACCTACATATTATAATATAATCCAAACAACATTTTTCCTTGTAATTTACGAATTGGTCTAATTATAAGGATAGTACTGCGGATAGTCATAGAACTCACTAGTGCGGACGTAAATCCACACCAGGGAGTATCGTATCCACAGATCATGACTTTAAATATCCACAATTCGTGACCTCTATGTAGCTGGATTATAGGATGAATCCATCGTAGGACAATTATAAAAAACTCTGAATTCAAGAACATTTTTACTAACGAATTTGAACCCTACCTCCTGCAGAAAACCAGTACCAGTACGCTTCAAATACCCAAAATTTGCCAAAAACTTCCCTTGGACGACGCCCCTGCACAATCCTTCACTCATGTTAGGGTTAAAATACGGCATCCCCATCTCAATTGATAATTGATAACACCTCTTTAGGTCAGTATGGAGTGATACAGGCTAGACCATGTACTAAACTATCCATATACAGGATAGTCTTGCAACCATATGAACAAACTTTGTCAGGTATTCAGCATGTCAAAAGAAACAAAAAATGTTGTATAAAATGTGTCCTATCTCATTCCGTTTTTAGTCTATCTCTATGTAAGTGATTTTTACATAAAAAATGCATAACTCCTTAACTGCTTGAGCTACAGTGTTGAAATTCTGTATAAATGTTTAACTTATTGACCGCAATGTTTGTGCAGCATATGAATAAAAACTTATGAACGGTATAAAAATGGCGGCTATTAAAAGTATTTGATGCCGAATTCTATAAAAACTGTTAATTTTACAAAATTTTACAGGACATGTGAAATTTAGTTAATTTCATACAGACTACAACGATATCTTATAACCTTAGTTTGTACAAAGAATAACTGAGAAATTAATTTTTTCTTGCCGTACGTACCTTCAATTTTTTCAATTTTTTAATAGTTTTATCAATTTAACATTATTAAAGGGAGAAAACTAGGATATCGGGAGAACTAAGCTTATAGGATATCGTAGTAATCTGTATAAAATTTACTTAATTTTACATATCTTGCAAATATTTTGTAAAATTAACGGTTTTTATGGAATTTGGTATCAAATATTTGTTTAAATCAAGAGTTTTTATTCATATTTTTCACAAAAATAATGGTCAATAAAATAACATTTTTGCAGAATTTCAAAACTGTAGGTCAAACAGTTAAAAGGAGTTATGAGTTAAGGATGAAGAGACCCTGCTTAGTTATCTTTGATGAGCATATTAATGTGATAATTTCAAAATTACCCAAGTATCGTTAGTTTCCCATTGTCCCCATGGTTTAGTTTTAGTATGTATTGGAAAACAAATGTTCCAATAACATTTTATATTGTCAGTTAGCTATTTTTTTCTGACTTTAGTAAATCCATTGAAATTTTGTTTTCGGTGTTAGAAGGTGTTATGGGGTGTTTACGGTAGTATGGGGGGGCTCGACCTTGGGGAGTTTTGCACCTCTGACATAATGATGTAAAGAAACATTAAGTTCCAGTATATTCTTTATATAACTTGTATCCCGTTTTACTGTATCAACTGGTTACATTTTGTAAATTACAAATTTACTTCTCGTTCATTGGGAAACTACAATCTCTCTCTTCTCTTTTCTTGATTATCTTTTTACTAGACAGACATTGAATATAAATTTAATCACTCCCTTTAGTTATTTACAACAATTTGTTTTCAAGAAATAAATGTAACCTACAATTTACAAAAAAGTGAAAAACATAAAGCTGAGGAATTTTTTATAGTACCGTATTAGCATTTTTTTTTATGGATTTGGATATTCATTAGCCAAGTATTAAATATTATTTTATTTTGCACAATATTTACATGAAAAATACATTTTTGAGTACATTTTGCATAGTTTATAAAAGTTAAATAAATCAAAATCCTTTTTTCAGTGTACATATGGTACAAAATATGAAAGTATAAAAATAATGAAACGTTCTATTCAACTAACGTTAGCACACAGCTACATTACTTAGGCAAGATTACAACTAACTTACATTTAATGAAGTACATGGAAAGATTTATTTTTTAAATAAATTAATAATACTTCAACGCCCATAGGACTGAATATCTAAATGCACAGATACTCGTGTAGAGATATTATTATCTTAGAATCAATAACAAAACCTACAAAAATAATGACTTTGTAGATTTACCGTATAAAAATCTTCAACAACACTGCTAACAAAACTGTCTCTGACTTACATATAGTGGGTTAGGTCACAAGGATAACTAGAATTGAAAAGTTCATATTTGGTGACTGTGTTGTAAATGTACTGCAACTGTGTTGCCGTTAGTCAGCTTTGCGTGCCTTGCGTTTACGAGCGGTGTTTGAGTCTTGTGTGTTTTCATCCACCAGGTCTTCCTCCACGAGATCATCTTCCTGCAAACCAATCACATCGTGAGACAATGAATGACACTAATGTCTACATTCTAGGGTGTATATGAACTTCCTGAAACTTTTATGTATTTGTTCCTTAGGTTCTGACAGTAAAAAAAACCAACCTATAAGCATGGTTTTCGGTCTGTCAGTCTGAGTGTATTTTTACAATTACACCAGGGCCGATTTACCGAATAGGCACGGTAGGCGCCTAGGGCAGAACCAGTTGGCTTTTTTTGGAAGGCGAAAAAAAAAATTGGAAAATAAAAAAATTTGGTGGTTGTATTAGTAGGTGATCGCGGTAAAATTTTGCTGATCCCTCGCAGTCGTGTAGACATCATAATTGTCTCTTTTGAGCCCAATTAGATAGAACCTATCAGCACACAAAAAGTATCAAATTTTTTATTTTTATAAATTCTAAAATGGCGTCCAATTAAAATTTGTGTTTGTGTTGTGTGTGTTCTACAATGGCATGATGACCTGATGTTTTGTTACACCTGATGATACTCCTCTAGAAGTCTGAAACTATAGTAGTATTCTAGTAATAAAAGGATCGCCGTAAAATTTCACAGTAAAATTTTTATAATCCCTCGCAGACATCATAAACGTCTCTTTTGAGCCCTAATAGATAAAACCTATCAGCACACAAAAAGTATAAAAATTTTTATTTTTATAAATTCTAAAATGGTGTCCAATCAAAATTTGTGTTTGTGTTGTTTGTTCTACAATGGCATGATGACCTGATGTTTTTGTTACACCTGGTGATACTCCTCCAGAAGTCTGAAACTATAGTAGTATTCTAGTAATAAAAGGATCGCCCGACAAAGCAAGGTAACTTAAACCATTTATAATAGAACCCCTCATATCCGACCTCGCAATAACCAACTCTTTGGGATATCCAACCTAGTGTCCTACCGTCTACTTGTTTCCTGTCTGGGGCGATAACGCTGATCGCGGTTGTTGCCGTAATCGCGGTAGACGATTACCACAGTACCAAAAACATGTGTTGAGCCGTCGCGGGAGACGATTACTGATTTTACGGAGACTGTGAGTTTGTTATGCTCTTTTCCGACCATGGCCTGGTCCCGTCATGATTAGATATGAGGGGTTCTACTGTAGCTTAAATGTAGTGATTCAGAGACTACTACATCATATTTTTAGGATTTTTTTGTGTATTGTTTAGCTAAATACTAAAGTGTATGCTTTAAGGCAAAAATTATTAAATCAAGAGTTAGTTGTGTGAAATTGCACAAACTAGGACTATATTGAAGCTATGTAATCATGACCTATAATACAAATTCAATTTTGAGCAACAGGTTGATCTGTTATCACTTTGTATCACAGTAGTCCCTTAATAATTCGGCCAAACAGCTTGGTTACTACATACTACTAATAAGTGGTGACACGACAGGGGAGGAAACACAGAACTCACATACACACAATTGCCAACGGCTCGCAAAAATCATGTCCAGGTCAGTTCTCCTGGACTGTGGGTGCGAGCTGTCTTATATTTACTAATTAACATGATTTTTCGATAGTCTGGCCCACTGGCTGCCCTTTAAGTAAAACGATCGAGGAACTGCTGTATTTCTGTCTTCAACCTAATGCAGTATTCAATTATCAATTATCAATTATCAATTATTTAAGATGGGGACGCCACTATGTGCGTATTTTAACCCAAATATGAGTGAAGGATGAGTGTAGGATGAGTGGCGCGATCTTGTAGTCTTGTTAGTGACTAAGGCCGACATGTTCCTTAGACACAGCTGTTAGTTAATAGCCCATACAGCTAATGGCAACTAAGGGACCTACAGTTTATAGGGCAATTCCACGGTGTCGGACGTAGATTTCAGACACATTTTTCTGCTATTTTAATGCTTTAAAATTACTTTTTGTAAAAAACCTTAATCTTTAGTATTTTTATTTGAAAGAACAGTTCTTTAAAAACATTTTCATATGTAACATTTTTTAAATTTTAAAATCTTTAATGGCTAAAAAAAATTTTTTCTGCGGTGTCGGACGTAGAGTGCACAAAATCGATATTTCTTTTTTCCTTATTTGACTTTAAAAATCTGTGAATTTTAAAGAGATAAAACAACAGAAAAAATCATGGATGTAAAGAAACTTATTAGCTTTAAAAAGAGCCTAGGTTCAAGTTTTTTGGTTCTATAGTTTTGACACAAAAAAAAATCTCCTACGGTGTCGGACGTAGAATTTTTGGTGTCGGACGTAGGTTGTGTGATTTTTTTTAGATTTACAAATAATAGGTAGTAATTAAATGTAAAAAAACGTTCACAATTTTATATGAACCCTTTTAAACATTTATTCATGCATTTAAATGAGCCTGAGCAAATAAAATTACTAAAATCCTCTATACCTGGGTTTAAAATATTTAAATTTCGAACATTTACGTTGCACAATATGGTTTGACATTTTACCTTCAGGGAAAAAGTAAAAGGCTGATAAACACTCTACATCTTTTATTAGATATTTTGCTTATTTAACTTAAAAAAGTTACAGCTTCTTAATTCCTACAAATTACCCATTCTCTACAAATTAGTCTCTTTAAAAAAAATAATGAAATGAAAAATTCATGGGCACTTTGGGTTATATGCCTAAAAGTAAGACATGAGAAAATGTGTTCAAGGGAGCACATCTGGAAGTGGACCGATGATACTTTTAAATTTATAGTGGTCTCGTTCCTCCGTAAGGTTCAGGAGGCTCAATTTTCTTCACAATGTCTTTGGCTTTGTACATAATACAGTCTTCATCAGTTGGCCAGAAATAGTATGCACCTGACTTGGAGCAATGCATTACTTTCACTTTGGCTTCATTTTGTTCAACACACTGTACTTCACCTGGATAGTAATCATTATCGTATTTAACCACAACCCAGTCTTTTTGAGGCACTAAATCCTGAAGGTTTAGGTCATTTCTCTCTATTTCGAAACGCTCGCCATACTCCTGTTCTGAGTCATCACTGTCCGAAGACTCCGGATTTTGAACAATTTTTACTTTTCTTTTTACTAAATCGTCGCTTGTGTCGCCTACAATTAAGAAATCTTTTGATCCAGCTGCCGTCACATAATGCACTTTGTGAGTGTTAGGTACTGGTACGGAACACTCCCATATTTGCAGACCCTCAATCACTGCTTCTTGAATATCCTTACTTGAAATGAACTTAACTAAAACATTGGGGTTCCTTAAAGCAGCAATCTCGGCAAAATCTTCTGCTGTGCTCAGAACATGACCTGCATTGGCTTTGCAATAGTTCCAAACACTTCTCTTAACGGTTCCTCCTATGCCGTCAACCACACCTTTGCCGTGGGAAGTTGCAAAGAAATGCCAGTGGATCTCAACCTCAAACTTACTCTGTAGAAAAGGGAGAACTGAAAACATAAAGCGATTCTTGAATTGAGCTGATGTTCCATCAGAAAATACATTGACCTTAGTAATATCTGGTTGGATTGATTTTAGTTGTTGTAGCAAGAAGTTCAAATAACAGTAAATTTGATTTTTTGTGTGCTCCAGATCATCAGATACAATAACACAGCTTTGACTGACATTTTCCGCAATCCAAGCATACGATGTAAAGACAGTAGCCTGGCTATGGGTCCAATGTGCTGACTGTATTTCATTTTGGTGTAGAATGGTCGCATTTTCTGAAAAATCCATTGCAGAGAAACAATGTTGCCAAATTGCGAACTTTCTGGCATGCTATTAGGCCTATATTTTCATAGGTAATGTGTACACTTAAACGTTTATTGGTTTCCCATCATGTTAGCCTATATGGGTTTTGTTTAAATACTTTAAAACACAGTTTAGGAGATTTAATAACCAACAGTTGTAGCAAATGTTATATATTTTTTTTTACTTTTGAAGCTTACAAAAACTTATAAATTTGGGTGATATGTTTTTATTTATGTTTAACAATGGGGGTGTGGGATAAATTTTACATCTAACTAAACTGAAAGGTTCCTTAGTACAGGTTAATTGAGTACTATGATAAAAACTCAACTTAGGGTTTTATAGTATATGCAGCATGTTACGGTATTTAACATATACTACCCAATTTTAGTACTTTGGTGTCGGACGTAGAGTCGGACGTAGGAAATATTTTCTACGTCCGACACCATGATTAAAAAAAAACCATACATGATAGATTTTTTTCCAAACATGGATCATTTAGACCTATGTAAACTTGCTTTGCATACTAGTTTTCAAGCTTTAAAAAAAATCCCTCTAGCCACAGTAAAACTAAACGTACATTTTTGGTGTCGGACGTAGAATTTAATCTTTCTTAATGTTAAACATCTGTAGGGTGGACAGAAAACCTTTTTCTTAATTATAAATTGCATTAATATTTAGCTTTACTCTTAAACTATCAAAAAAATAATTCATAAGGCTTATTTGAGTAAATTTTGTTTGTTGGTTATGAAAATAACCAACATGGTTGTAAATCGGAGTGAAAAAAAAAAACGGTAGTCTATAAAAAAACATGTATATATTTTTTATTATTTTTTTTTGGTGGTAACCAATGTTATGAGTGGAAAGCTACACTAACGAGCTTTCCAAAAATGTATAACAGTAATGGGTTTGATAAAGTTGACAAAAAAGTATAGAGGTTGACCATTTTATGGAATTGCCCTATAGTGGAATCCGAACCACATTTTTCCTAGTAATTTATTGCACTGAGAGCCAAATATTCCACAAGATGTACAAGACTCACCGACTCATCATCGCTCCCCTTGGCTTTCTGACTCTGCTTGAGACTAGAAGGAGGCACCGCCTTTGGTGGGGACAGCAGGTCAATGGTACAAACAGCCACCTGAGAAAACAACTGCAGAATCTCAATTGAGCAATAGTCATAAGCCTGTGTTGAGGGATTAGAAATACATTGGTGTAATACACTTTTTCAAGAAACAAAGTCAAAAGGTCCTTCATGAATAATGTTAGGTTACATACTTCACTGATTTTTAAAGATACCAGTAATCACTAAGCACAAGACTTGACAATTTATTTTTTCCTACTTTTTTGGTACCATTGTTCTTTTTAATAGGGTTTCCAGATAAGAATTAAAGACAAAGTCAACAGTATATTACCATTGACTATTGGATACTGAAGTAGACATCCCATCTATATGGACCAGCTGTCGGGATTTTTTATTAAAAAAAAACATAGTTGTGTGAGCCAGTCACAGAATGCGCTAGTGTCTAAAATGCTATTTTCGGCCTTATTTTTAGTTGCTGAACAAGTTTATGCATCATAATGGTTGCTATACCTCACAATAATTTATTCCATTAATTTGACTGTGTAAAAAAGTTTGTGTATTCGACAGAAATCAGTAATTTAGATCTGCAAAATCTCTCAATGGCTCAAATCAACTACGACTACCTATTTTTAAAAAATGTGGTGACAATTTTAACATGATGATGGAATGTCTAGTTGTATCAATAGTCAAAGATATTAAATAACTTCTTGATCAGCATTGTACGTGTTATTAAATTTACAGAAAGTAAATAAAAGAAACGTCTTATAACACTTAAAACATATATTTACGCTTATACTGTTACTCACAAGACGGTAAATATACAAAAACGATGGTAAGTGGTGATCGATATATATATATATTATATATATTTATAAGGAAAAATGTAAAGATAGAAATAAGTTGATTAATGAACAAATACATTTTGATTCCAGTTGTACTTATAAAAATGTATTGGCCGGTGCTTCCGGTAGCCAATAGGGTATAAGTAGGGACGCCATTCAAGATTCTTGTCATTCGCCTATTGGGTCTGATGATGATTGGAGTGTCCAATCGAAATCGATCACCACTTACCATCGTTTTTGTATATTTACCGTCTTGTGAGTAACAGTATAAGCGTAAATATATGTTTGAAGTGTTATAAGACGTTTCTTTTATTTACTTTCCGTCTAAGATATTACACTACAAGGCCAGCAGGTGTGTAAAGTATGAGCATGATAGTTTCATAGGGAAGTGATAGGGAAGTAATGCGAGTAGGCCTACCGTTAACACATCCTCAGGTGAAACGTGTATAATACTTCTGGCTACACTATCAGCAAGAAAAATACAGCATGTAAAATACAACTTAAATATATAACTAATTTGATAACAATGCTTTATTCACACTATTTCAAAACAACATTTTAACAGTCAAGTCAAGTCTAAATATCATTTATTTCGCAAAAAATAGACATACTGTATTCCATATTATGATCTCTGTACAAAAATACAAAAATTATTAGCTCACTTTCCTACAAATTTTGATATCAATTTGAAACGAAGTTCCTGATGAGCTAGAGACTTGAAATTTGAAACATAGCTCACAAGTGGATGACAATGAAATATTATAGCATTTAATTTTCATATTTCCCTTGGGATTCGCCCCACTGGCTTCCAAATTTTTCATGTTTACATTTTGAAAGAATGTAAATATATCAATTAATTGAAGCCAGCTGTAAATACTTAAATTTGAAAAGATAAACAATCTGATTGCAGAAATAAAGGTGTTTGTTAATAATGTCATTTGTTATTTATTTAGTATTCTATAAAGTAAACAATAAATTAAATAGATTGATATATTTATAGTTAGTAGGTAGGCCATACATTTAATCTAATACATAATTATATGAAAAGAAACTCAAATAAACCTTAGATTTCTGATATAGATGCATGAAATAGATTTAACATCCACACACATTAAAAACTAAAAAGTAGAAAATAATTTATAAATAAAAACTTTTTTTAAAACTAAACGTTTTTAAATGCACTAAAAAGTAGAAAATAATTATAAATATGTGGAGAGTATAAATACTTGCAAGATTTAAAACGAAAAACGTGAGGTGCATGCAATTGATAATAATACATTAGTTCAATAGGTTAAGTTAATTGTAAATTATCTATTGGGGCGTAACCCAAGAGAATTATGAAAATTAAATGATATAATATTGCAATGTTATCCATTTGTGAGCTATGTTTCAAGTTTCAAGTCTCTAGCTCATCGGGAAGTATCAACATTTTCAAGAAAGCGAGTTAATAAAAACGAGCCCGTGGGGCATTGCCCAAGGTAAATATGAAAATTAAATGATATAATATAGCATTGTCTTCCATTTGTGAGCTATGTTTCAAGTTTCAAGTCTCTAGCTCATCGGGAAGTTAGTATAAAATTGATTGCAAAATTTGTACCGGACAAGAAAGCGAGCTAATAAAAACGTTTTAAAAAATAGACATACTGTATTCCATATTATGATCTCTGTACAAAAATATTTACTTTTCTAAGTAAATTTATTTTTCTAAATTATATTACTTACAATTTTCTATAAAAGCTTTTTGAAGTGAGCAAAATTATCCCCTACAAAGGAGAATTTACTCCTGTGCGTGGGAGAGAGTTGTTATATTTTTAGAGTTTTTTGAAATGATGAAAAAAAGGAATTTTCAACGGGTTACAAGTTGAAAGTCAATGCTCTATCCCTGTGGCACAGAAACGAGAACTGCTCAGATATGTGCTTGCATACAATTGTTCGATGTGAGCGTAAATTTGTTGTCTGTAGGTTGAGTCTGTAGGCTGACAATTTGTTGTATACCTAGTTGTAACAATTTGTTGTAGAGTAGGTTCTATTCTCGGTAAGTAAATTCCTCCACCTAGTGCATGTCTGGTTCTGTTTTCGTGAGTGTTTGAATATGTAAGTAGTCATTCAAACAGTACCTACTTTAAAAGTTTTACATTCTTTAACCTATTCTACCATTTATTGTGCAAAGTGTGCAATGAGCCAGACAAAACATGTTTAATATTAATTGTATAGCTTAGAAAAGATTTAGAGTCTACAGAAGAAACTCATATCGTGTTTTTTCAAACGATGCAGTAAATGAGTGATGTTTTTGCAGGAGAATCACAAAGGAGATGTTATTTAGGCCTACCATATAATTTAGAACTTACCAGTCCAAGCAGTGCTCCAACAAAGATTGTGGCAATGGCAAATATGAGGTAAGATCCCCAAGTAGGAAGTCCATAATCTTCCATTAGTCTTGTGTGGACTGCCTGGAAAGTTGTATTGGCATTGTTATACATATTAGAAAAAAAACAAGTATTTTTTAAAAAGTTATTTATATGGTAAACCCCAAAGAAAAGTGGTTTTCTATCAGCAGACTTCATCTCAACCGAGGTCAATCAATAGAGTACCCTCACTAACTACAGATTGCCGATAGGGCCAAAAGTTAATATAAAGCTGAACTGACATTTAAACTAAATTTTAATAAATATCAAATATCCAAACTATGTTGGTACGGGGCCGGGGGGCAATATTCTGTCTAGGAGAAAAGGTTATTTACATGCAATATTTCAACAGTGCTGATTATGTACTCATTTTTAAAAAAGAAAAGGAGTTTAAACGTAATTTCTTATTTTATGTTTTAGTTAAAATTTGAAGACTGTAAGGCTCACTTTCTGAAGATCCAAAGATTTCCATATACTGGACTTGTTGCTCATTGTAGGCCTACTAAGTCAAACTCCGTCATATTTGAACAGGTGCAGAACTAGTTGAATAAAAATATTTCATATCCTTTACCAACCACTAAGCCGAGAAAAGGTGAATCAACTCAAAGTTAGATGAACGATAACCTCATTTTCAAAAGCCAAATTCATTATGGCCTATATTAAAAAAGAAACTTGAGTATACCTAATAAATCAAATAAAACTAACGACATGGCTAGAACAGCCGTTAAACAAACAGAAGCCCAACACTAAAACTTAATTTGATAGCCTATGGAGTTCATTATTGTAATTCTGGATTTTTAAGCTTTGGCTATACAGTATTTTTAATAATGATCCTGACAGATTATTTGGATGGACTTAAGTCACAAAGAAAGGTACACAAGGCCATCTCAGTAGATCACTATAGTATCTCCCTTTGTTAGCTCTTGAAATGTTTTAAAATACAAGACTTATACAAAGTCTATACCGCAACATTTCCAAACAAACAAAAATGTAAAGTTACAGATGTAGTTGTGACTTACCCGAAGTAGCTGAGACATCTTGAAGAAGTAAGACACAATAGACATCTGGAATGACGAAGGTGACTTCCATCCTGGAATGGGTTCAATAGCCTTCCATTTATCTTCTTCGATGAAGGAGATGAAGGAATCCTTTTCTCTGGACCCCTTGTATTGTCGAAATTCACCATTGAGCACACTATTTATGGAAGTAAAAATACACAATTATTAAAAAATTACAGATAAAATATACAGTTAAATTTTCCAAAGTTGATTTTACCCAGGAATAGTGTAAGGTCAATTTAAGAATCAATAGGTACAACTAAAATAGCTTATTCTCTATTTGAGAAACTCAATAAAACCTCCAAATTATTTTTAAGTTAATTGGAGTCATGCTTAAAACGTAAATATTAAGTATAGTTAATGTAAATTAATATGGAATATTTGGGAGGGTAGTGAGAGAGACAGAAAACCTCCCCCACAACAGAACTATTCTGTGGACTGCATATGTATGTTAAATGAGGTTTTATGGCAATTTTCGAGGTGACTGAACAAAATAACACAAGCAATGGTGGTGGGGAAAAATATCTCGTGTGCATGCACATCATTCACTTGTCTTCATCTGAAATACCCACTCTGGATTTTGACATGATTGTGAAGTGCCAGAGAGCTGAAACTCTACTATAGCTATTTCAAGACTATGTCCACTTCAGCCAGTATTGGCGTGTTGCTGTCATAAAAATCTAAATCTATTTAATCATCCCGTTTGCGACTATAAATTATAATGTATTGTGAAACAGTTTTAAATGTCAAATTTGTATCTTTTCTTCCTTCAGTCTTTTGTGTTTATTTTACACTGTAACTGGTTGACTTTATCACGATCAAGTAATTCAAATGACTGGATAGTGAAACAAAATTGAAAAAAAAAACTTAAATTGAATACCTAACATATAAATTTGTAGTTTGTAAAGTTATGATTCTTAAGCACATATAACTTTTTTACGCTCATTCCAGCTGAGTAACTATGAAATCAGCTGGCATAACATAGAGACTTGTGTTGGTACCTGGCAGTTTCATGCCAGATTCACAGCTTCTTGGTTAGTTTTGTGACTGCAGTTGTTTGGAAACCACGCCTCAAAAAGTGAGATTAGATTGAACTACCTGACACTCAAACAGAGATTCATTCTGTCACCCAAGAACAATATGATCCACACAGAAAAGAGCTACTTACTGGAATATGGTGGGCAGAGCAGTAACCATGAAACGGCCGCTTAGACCCGGAGACTGAGTAACATCCACCTGACCTACTTTGATATTCAGGTCTTTACTCCAACCAGAAAACTCTTCCCACACCGACTGCATAGCTTTGCAAGCAGGACACCAAGGTGCATAGCTGTGAAGAAATACTGAGTAAGCTACTTTGAAAGTATTTTAGTTTAATTGTAAGTTCAATAATAATTTTTAACCAGACTTTTTATTTATTTATCTCTTTATAAATTGGTGTAGGCTAGGCGAACTATAATTTTATGGGCATTTTATGAATTTCAATGCATTTTTAAAAATGTTAAAAATTGCATCCACCGAAATTAATTAGCAGAGAAAAAGAATGATTGTTTTTTTTCCCAATATTGTTGATCCTCTCGGGTTTATATTTTTACTCTGTTGATTTCACGTTTTTAACTAAGATAGGCTATATTTATATTTTAGCCTTGTTTAGTTTTCAGAATGCCAAGAAGTTTTCTCTCTCTAACAGACTTATTCCCAAGATGCACCTGGCAGGGCCATTCTTGCTGTGCTGGGGGCATAAGTTTAATGGTGACGGGGCTAGGATGCTACACCCTAATTCCCTCAACATGAGTCACATTCCATTGGTGGGATACTAAATTAGGTTGGCACTTTATGATTATAACATAGCCTACTCACTCTTAATTTTCAAAATTCCATTTGATGACAGAAAAAACAAGTGAGGAAGATAGGTCGGACTTTATGCGGGTTCGTGACTGTGTCCTTTGAAGAATAAGAGCAGATTATTTTGTTTCAAAACAAATTGATTTAATTCCGCATTAAGTCGAGTATAAACAGCTATTTGCTTTCCTCACTCAGTCCTCAGCCCAAATACGGGCCCATCCAGACCACGCCATATTACCAACAGTTACGCAGATTTGTAATTTTAACCTTCGTTTTCCAGCCACTTAGGAATCTCTCCAACAAAAACTGATTGTATTTTTGGATTCAGCGAGAAAAAAACTGTAAGTAGACATCTACAAATTACATCATATCCCAATGTAGACATACTAAGTTAAACTTAATTGTCGTGTTTCCAATTAGGCCTATCTACATTACAGGACGACGCCACCATCCCAGTTCATAAAGTTATACATAGCCTACTAATATGAAAGGCAGAGGATACGCGTCCCGTAACTGGACGTGGATTTGGCGTCCGGCAGTTACTGTCATAATCCTTAACCTAACTAACCAAACTTGCTGATAATGAAAATATCAAATGAAGGTTAAATTCTGTTCATAACTTCATAACTGTTCAAAACAAAATCTTTGCAAAAAATTAAAGATAGCCTAACTTACTAATGGGATTCAAACCAGGGACCTCTTGCCAATCAGCCCAGCACTCTATCCACTGCACCACAAACACCGATGGCTGTACATCGTATTGTTGTGGTTATGGCGTTCCAGGCCCCCACAACTTACAGTACAAAGGTGAACTGTACTGATAAAATGTATCGGCAGTGACCAGGATCCGAACCCACGACATCGCTGTCTTGGGCCCGAAGTCCGCGACCCTACCGACTGAGCCACCGACTCACTAAGGAGGTTACTGGACGCGTATCCTCTGTGAAATAAATTAGGCACACCAAGCCTAAGACCCTAGGTCTAGCCTGAAGTAACGTGAAAAACAATCCCGGGCTCATGCCTAGCTAGCGTATACTAGGACAAACATTTAAAAAAACTAAACCTAGGCCTACTTGTGGACACAATACTGAACACTAGGCCTAAGTTATTCAATCTAGTTTAGTAGGCCTGCCACAATTAGGCCTAGGCCTACAGTAATCACTAGGAATGAGCCTTCTTTTAGCTTCGAATTTCTTTTTTCCCTAGGCCCTAACCAATAAAAAAAGTTGGTAAGGCCTATCATGAATCAAAACGTGATCAGCAGGTTGTTGGCCGGCAACAAGACGCAATAATTTACGTTTTGGTAATAGCAAAGTTGATGAATGTACTTACAATTCCACCATCCATTCCCCTGATAGCATAGCATCCCAGTTTTCTTCATTCAAACTAAATAATTGTGACTTGCAGTGGGATAAACTGATATTAATACTAAGGAAAATCAAAAATGTAAATAACTTTATACAATGTACAGCCGCCATACTTAACAGTAACCCAAGAAGTAAAACAGAATCAGAAGAAACAGTCAAAGACAGAAACAGACAGTGACAGTTAGGCTAGTACAGTTGAGTGAGAGTTGAGAGTTGAGTAGGAGTAGAGTTTAGAGTTTTTTTTTTTTTTTTTTTTCTTGCCGAAAAGGCGGTCTGGGTTTTTTTACCCATGAGAAAGTTGTAGCGTTGTAGGTAGCCGTGGTTGAGTACAGTTCGACTTCGACGTTCGACAGTTGGTTTGGTTGATTTCTGTTATGATGGTGGGTCGAGTTCCCGCAAGGCTCAAAGGACGTTCCATGACTGACGTCATAGTGATGACTGCTTTCCCACATCCCACATTTCCAACTTTCCAAGAGTCGTCTCTCGTATGATAAAGTGCCAAATCGCCAAAATTGGTTGTTTATTATTTCGACTTGACATGGGACAGTGTCATAGTGGAAGGAAAAAACATGTTTTTCTTCCACCATGGGATAGTGTATTGAAAAAGCCTACAGTTTTTGTGACGGTACGGAAAAATAATATATACGATGAATTTTCAAATAAAAATAACGAGCTCTATTTGGGGTCTGACTTAGGGGAGTTACGAATGAGGCATTTAGTTCTAAATTCCTCCGTGAACAGCGCTGTAGTAGAGAGCACTTTGGCAATGAAGGTTTACTAATCGCAAAAATAGTTCTGTTCATAAAATAAAATTATAAATGCCTCAAATTCAATTTTATTATTTTTTAATTACAAAATTAAACTATCATAACCTAACCGAACTAACCAAACTTGCTGATAAAGAAATAATATAACAAAAGTTTAGTAATCGGAAAAATAATTCTGTTTATTAAATAAAACTAGAAATTGCTCAATTAAAATTTTATAATGACTTAATAATAAAATTAAACTGTAATAACCGAACCAAACCAACCAAACTCGCTGATAATAAAACATCTTGGACAAAAAGTTAATGCTACCAGCGGGATTCGAACCCGGGACCTACAGTATATCAGCCCAGCACGCTAACCATTAGACCACCGAGGCCGACGGCTATTGTCCGTTTTGTTACGGCAATCGGCAATGGCGTTCCCTCAGCTAATAAGAAGCCCACAGCTGTCATCGTAGCCTCTTCTATACCTCCCCTGAGTAAATACCCTCTATTTGTAAGCTAGATAACCTCTCCATCTACCCTTTTAGGGATACAAGAAGCTCCATCCATACTATATTTGGTAACTTAGCCTTAAAAGATGTGATTTTGCATAGTCTATGACGCTTGATCTCTACTCGTAAATTGTTACCATATTTATTAAATATTTCATACGTTTTTGTGTTATTTATAACAAATTGAGGTTATATTTACATAATTTAAAGCATCAATTTACTCAGATCCCCCCCCCCCCAAACATCAAGCTAAATTTCTTCCCCTCCCTTTAAACATTAAGCTAAACCTACCTTTATACTTCCAATTGGAGGTTATGACTTTCATTAAAAAATGAATTTATAACTAAACTTTGTATTTGGTAACTTTAGTAATATGAAATCGTGACGTCGAGCCTACGTCATGGAACGTCCTGTGAGCCTTGCGGGAAGGGAACTCGACCCCCTTGAGAGTTCTGTTCATGCTGGTTGGTTGTTCGTTGTTCGTTGTTCCAAGTCAGTCCAAGACATTCGTTCCGTCCTGTCTTGTTCTATCCTTTTTGGGGTCTGACCAAGGCCCCACTAGAAAAAGCAGGTCATGCTGCAGGATCCATGACGTCACACTAGTGGATAGATTTCATTGATAAATTCATTGCCATCACCATTCCCATATGTTTTAGGTAAATAAACAAGCTGGCTGTTTGTAAGATTTTAATGGTAAGAGTTTAGTACAACTATCCACCACTTCGTAGTGTTGCACTACCCGCGCTGCAGCATGGCCTGTTTTTTCTAGTGGTCTGACCAAGGCCACAGAAAAACAGGCCATGCTGCAGCGTAGGCAGCGCAACCTACGTCACAGTGGTGGATAGTTGTACCGTTGTACAAAAAACCGTTGTACTAAAATCTTACCATTAAAATCTGACAAACAGCCAGCTTATTTACGTAAAACATATGGGACATACTTTAATTTTCATGCAGATGAACCATCCATTCTATCACATGTGAATCAGCCGAATCAACCTATCTCGTATGTCTGTAAATCACCCGTTTCACGTTTTCATTCAATTTTAAAACTATCCATGTCCCATTTTCATTCGTTTAAACTACGAATTAGTTGTTTATTCATTTATTTATTTATAAACGGTTGCACCATTTTTACAAGAAAAATACAATTGTCTTACAGAAAGAAGCAGAGGAAAAACAAAAAAATCACATGCCAGTACAAAAGTAGTGAAAAAACTGGAAAACAAGACTTCAATAACAAGACATAAAAGATAAATGACAACTATAAATACAAACTATAAATAACAAACTATGAATAACAAACTAAGTAACAACTATAAATAACGAACTATCTGAACAGGTTGACAAAACAAGAGAATCGAAAAACAAAACCAGTATAGGATAATAATGATAGCACAATGCAGTAAATAAGCCGAGTAAAACTTTAGTAAAAGATGCAGAATAATCTTGATGAAAACAGATAAACTTGCAGAAAAATAACAATATGATATACTCTGTACAAGAACAAGATAACAACAGTAACGACAGGATAGACTATATTAACAAAAATAAATAATCAAATGCATAGAAAGTTTGGACATGCAAAGGTTGATTATTTGCAGAGGTTATTATTTGACAACTGAAACTGTTCTTCATTGAATGGTGAAATTAATACTTGTTTGTTTGCCCGATGAGTTAATTTTGTTTACCTTATCTACATGGGGGTATTAAATGGATTATTTATTCATCCATTCTTAGGTCAATCATTCTGCTCATGCTCAGCTCAGCACAACAGTAACTTAAATGCATTCGGCAGGATATTATTTATTTATTCCAACGACAAGATCGCCAATTTACAATGTGGATTCAAGAAGCCTATGTGGTAACAACATGCATTTTAACAGAAAACTTAACAATTAACTTAAATCTATGGCAGGAGCAGAGCAACATCGGTAACAGGAAATATAATCTTGACTAGGAAAGCAATAATTTAACAATGAAGTACAAAATAATTGTGAAAAAGCAATAACAAAGGTTAAGAATTTGGTCCGGCAATACAGTTAAAACAATCGATCAGCAAAAGCAGGGTAAATCATGACTAGGAAAACTATATAACAATGAAGTCGAAGAATATGAAAAAGCAAAAACAATATTATGCGTTACTAATTACGTAGTTTAAATTATGAAGACTTTTTAATTTGTACAGCTTAAATTTAGGTTTATACGTTTGTTTATGCAAAATGGCATTGAAATCATTGAAGTTTTTACTTGGAGTCATAAGAATCTGATGAACGATTGTGTTTTTGGCCTCTGGGGGCCTGAATAAATATTAATCGGCCCCGTTCTGCATGAGACCTAAATGGTAATACAGTTTAACATTGATAATTGAATGATATAATTGATAATTGATAACAGTAGCATTCATTGTAGGGAATTCGCTAAAATTGTTATGGTCTCAACCTCTGCAAAGCAGCATAATATACCAAAGAAAAACTGTAATAGAATCTATAGCCACCATTAATAGAAACTACCTTTTACATCATCTACAAAATTATCCCAAAAAATACTGAAGGAAATTAAAACTAATCCATCAGATGAGATGACCTTAACTTAAATGCGGGTCGCAGCTTAGTGGGGTCGCTACCCCTTGTACACACACTCAAAACCAGTAGAATAGGAGTATGTATAATCAGTATGTTTTGCTCTATATTAGGAAATTTCATATTTATGCCAGGTTAAGTGTAAGAAAGGGCCATGCGGCCCTAACTTTGCCTGGAAAAATAAACAATTTTTCATTTCATTTATATGCATTCAGTACCATAACAACTCAGAACGATAAACCACGTCGTTGGCTCTTGGACATGATTACTACTTGTTTGAAAAAGGTAAATAAACTCAACATAACATTTGGTTCTAAAGTTTAGATCGTTAATGTTATTATACATTGAATTTTATCAGTCAATACAACGCAATCTGTCTCTTAAGCTTCATGACATTTGACTAAGAACGCTATTGCTAATATAGACAAGAAAAACAACTTTTATTAGAATTAGAATAGAATCAGAGCCGTCCGTCAGACAGGGCGGGAAATGTACAGTTTCCGATTACCAACCACCATCACCACACCATCTTATCTACCATCTTACCGGTGCAGCAGCCTTACCTTCTTACGTTTAACTTTGCCAGTTTAAGTATATCAGCTCTTCATAATTTTTATTTTTGATTTTGTATCTATTAAAAAGTTAACAGCACCACTTAGCTAAGCTTCGTGACTATCAATGATTAATGAAGCTATGTATCTGTTATGCCTTTAGCTTCAGCGCCTGAGCGCCATTTAGTCAGTTTTATAATTTGACTCTAAAGACAAAGGTTTTAACAGTAAGGAAAACTTTTAAAAGTGAATTACTATAACCTACATTTAGACCCAAGGTAAGTCTTGAAACTTTTAACTTATTTTAAATTGAACATTCTTAGCAAACCTAGGTCTAGACATAGGCCTAGCCTAGGCTAAACTGGCTAGACTTAAGTTCAATGTTTCGGCAGATTTTTGCGTGTACAGAAATATTTTGGTGCATGCATACTAGCTCCGTAAAGAATGAATGGGTGAATAAAGTAAACTTAGGCCTAGGCCTATGCAAATTGTCTAGCCCTTGGTAGCCTAAATTATTGGCTTATGCCTACTGCACACGAGAGACTTTTTGTCGGCCGACTTCTTTGTCGTAGTCGGGAGTCACAGTCGGCCCCATAACCTACTTAACTTAGTGGTACTTACATATATCTGAGTGTGCACACAGGCCGACCGCAGCCAGACAGTTGGGGCATGGTTCTGACCGATTTTCCCGCCCACTGCTCCCCGACTCAACTGTCGTGTCATATTAAAAAGGCATAGAGACTAGTATGAATATGCACACTGACAACTAAAAAGTGGGTTCTCATTTTATATCTATAAAAATACTCTGCCATTAAACTTTTGAGGCCTATATCCCTCCGAGTGTTATTTGTCGTTGCAGCGACACCTAACACACTTTGTGTAGTGTTTAGTGTCGCTACAGCGACACACAAACACTATTTACGGCGAAGGCTCTATGACTGACTGAATCGGATTGAACTGGATCGAGTTGGGTATCGTTCTTTTCGTTAGATTCTAAGCATTCTCCAGAGGTCTGTCTTAGCGCTGTATGTTCTCCGAGCCGATCGTAATTGTAGCAGACAGCTGACGTGCGTATTTGTAAACAGCTTGGCTATCCTCGGACCGATGACTGATGTGTTTTATTATGTTTATCATTGTTTTAGTGTTAAAAATCAAAAGTAGTGATATAGGTGGTGCATTATAAGAAGATTTAAGTGATTTTGAAGGGCTGGTTGATGATCCTGAAGAAGTAGGTTAGTGATATTGATGTAAATTATCAGCCAGATTCCTAGCTATGGTTAGGCTATGCATTCTTAGCTAAACGCAATGTACTGAAATCTGTTTTTCTCTCATAACTTATTTATTTGATAACTTAGGCCCTACCTCACTATATGATTATATATTTGTAATCCTCATAAAATTTAGAACAAAGTGGCTATTTTCAAATATTTATAGGCCTATAATTTCATTGAGCGCGAACTTATTTTTTTTTTTTTTAATTTTCCAAAATATTTTTTTTTACTTAAAATTTTTTTTTTTAACAAATGTTTAATATGTTTTAAATATAATATTGAAGCCCATGATTTTCCAAACAAAATGGTACCTATATAGAACATTAGAATTAACATTGTTTTAAGCTTCTCAGATCCGTTTTAATAAAACCTTGCAAATGCGCCAAAAATAGGTGGACATTAAGGCCTAAACTATGGACACTTGGAGGGTTAAGGCCAAAACAAGGGACACTCGGAGGGATATACTTAATTGTACACAGACCATTGGTAGCCTATTTTTATTGTAACAAATCAAGGTACTTTGGTATTATCCGTAAGCCACCTTTATACAGCGCGCTGTGACGGTCATATTAGGTTGGGTTATCTTATCTTACTAATATTATAAATGTGGAAGTTTGTGTAGCCTATTTGTTTGTTTAAAGTTCAATCACGCATTAAGTTAACGACTAGACGGATTGGGCTGAAATTTGGCATGATGATAGCTCACATTCCCAATTAACATATATAGATAGGCATATTCTTTTCTCAAAAATCCTTTCGGGCTCTGCAGTTCCCCATGTTAACCTTATGAGTATTCATATTTAAAGGGAATTAAAGAATTAAGTCAGCTGTTTCAACTAATTGGTTCTAAGTTATGATATGCAAAAGCATTAAAAAGTTATAAGATTTATCAACATGGTGAAGCACTATTATTTTTTTGCATTTATGATAACAGCTTATTTGAACTCTAAGCAGCAACAAAAAAACTGTTACGAAATGAGAACTATCAAAATAGGATTGTTTACAGTGATGTTTATGTTTTTAATTTCATGAATAACTTAATTTGTGAAATTTTGCAAACTTTTAATAAATAATTTATTTTTCTCTATTGTTTAGGTGAAGTGGTAGAACATTATGGGGCTATGGTAGATGTGTAGGCCTAATACTATGGTATAAATACCGGTACTGTAAATTTAAAGAAGTAAATTTTTTATCAAACTGTGACCTCCCCCATTGCAAATGCAAAGCTCGAGTATAACTGCAATACCTAAGCGGTTTATAACTTACTTATCTGCCGACCCCGTACGAAGGACGGGTATTCTGCTAAACATAAATATGTTTGTAGGACCTTCCACTTTTCGTTATGAGTCAAACAATACCAGATGAGTCATATTTTCGCCCGCCAAATCCCTTCCAAGTAATCCAAGGTCAGGTCATTGACCGGACTGCGCGCCTGTATCTCTGGTATCGGTAGGCCTACTCATCTGGTATCGTTAGATTCATAACAAAACGAGGAAAGTCTTACAAACATATTTACGATAACCCAACCTAACACATCCGCCGCAGCACACTGTATACCTACGTGGCGGAGTACCTACTGACAGTGAGGCACGAGATGAGCCCTGGCTGAGGCGTGGTAACACGGCTGTATAGAGCGTAGTATCGTCTTAGTTGCGGGCGTTGCTGTCAGATAAAAACAAAATACCCGAGTTTAGAGCTGAATTTTTCGGCAAACACAACACTCACGTTAACAAACGTTACACAATAATTTAGCTTGTTTAGTTATGCGTTTTTTTCATACAACCGATAAAAATCAATGTTTGATTTTAACATTTTTTACAGTGGTTGGAATGAAAAGATGCCGATCAAAGCAGAAACCAAACTACATTTTCTTAGGTATTTATAGTTTTTAATCGGACTGTACACAACTATATTTCTCTTCATGTTGGTCTTTACTTCAATTTGAATACTTTGAACAACTAAACTACTAAAACTGTTCAACTGAAATAACTGTTAATAACAGTGAAGTTAAATAATTAACTTTAAATATAATATTTAAAATAATGGACTATTTATTTGATAAATCTTAAAGAAAATTATTATTTTCTCTTTTAGGAATTTTATAGATAGGCAAAGATAGTGTTTGGAATCTCACATACACATTATATCAAAGGGAGTGTGTGTTATTCTTTAAAATAAGTTATAAAACATATTTAAACACTTTAAATTGAATTGAAAATATGCGTAATGTATTTGCTAGTGTTTTAATTTAATATCTTAAATAAGGTACACCAAAAATTAGCATATATTATTTTTTTATAAATCTTAGAAACGAGTAGTTTCAAATATAACTGTTGTATAGTTAGGCCTAGTTAATAAATAAATATAATTTTATAATATCATTAGAATACCATACCATTGTTATTTAGAAAGAAGGTTTGAAGTCGTTACTCAGTAAAAAAACTATGTATTGGGTGAATTGACTTCTCTATTGTTTTGTTACTTTACAACGGTCAGTGGTGTACAGTTGCAATGCACCACTTGCACGGTGGTTTTACTCGACGCTGTCTCACCTTGAACTTGGACTCGTCCTATGAGTCATCCTTCCTCTCTTACCCCCATCCCTAATATCTTTAGTTAGTTTAGTTCCAACCTTCATTTATGAGTGCGGAGTGGTTATTACGTCTGTGGTTATTTTTCGAGTAGTTAAAAATGCATAACACGAGAAGTCATGGTTCAACTGTGCACAGTAGTGAACGCGAAGTGATTCGTGGAGTTATCCAGTGTTGTGATCAGGAAGCGAAGGACAAATCTTTGTTGTTTCCTATTTCAAAGGCTACGGAGCGGGCTGCAAATTACTGCAAAGTTTCTCAAGCTACTGTGAAACGAATCAGAAAGGAAGGGAAGCTGACACCTGATTCAAAATTGAGTACCCCTGGAAAAAAAAGAAAAAGACCTGATCACCGCAACGCTACTATTGATGGTTTTGATAGACGTGTCATTCTGGATGTAATCAGAGAGTTTTATGTCCAGAAAAAAGTGGTTCCAACTTGCAAAAAGATTTTGCCAATTTTAAAAGAAAGGATAAATTTTGGATGGAGTGATTGGACTTTACGCCGTGTCCTGAAAGAAATGGGGTTCAGGTGGAAAAAATGCAAGTCCAGGAGGAAGGTTTTGATAGAAAGAAACGATATTGTAAACTGGAGATGTAAATATTTACGTGAAATAAAAAAATTCAGGGAGAATGGCCGTAAAATCTTTTATCTGGACGAGACGTGGGTGGATGGAAACTTGACGTTTAAAAAATGTTGGCAAAATGATGAGATTGATGGAGTGCTGTCTGACATGAATTCATCTAATAGACTTATTATTGTTGATATAGGCTCTGAGGATGGATTTTTAACTGGAGGAAGACTGATTTACAAAGCTAACAGTACCACTGGTGATTACCACGGTCAGATGAACGCCAATAATTTTGAAAAATGGATACGGAATCAAGTTATTCCAAACTTACCTGAACATTCCGTACTGGTAATTGACAATGCTCCATATCATGGGGAGCAAGAAGACAAAGTGCCAACAAAATCGGCCACTAAAAGAACAATGCTTGAATGGCTCCAAAGGCATGGTGAAAACTACGATGAGAAGTCCACCAGAAAAGCAGATTTGTTAGAAGCAATTCAACGTTTGAAACCTCCACAAAAAATATTTAAAATAGACAAACTCCTGACAGAATTCGGACACACAGTAGTACGGCTTCCACCCTACATGTGCGATCTTAATGCTATTGAGTTCGTCTGGTCGAAGGTTAAGCACCATGTAAGATCCAGAAATACATCAGGAAACATGTCACTAAGTTCTCTGCAAGAACTTGCCATCGAAGCTTTGGATAGCGTCAGTAATGCCACATGGAAAAACTTTTGTCACCACGTCATCAATATTGAGAAGGACTACTGGGCCAAGGATGGCTTGATGGAAGAAGCCGTGGACGAGATGATCATACATCTTGGGGAGGAAAGTGACGAATCTTCATCCAGCTCTGTGGATGGTAACAACGATAGTGGTTCTGAAGACAACGAGGACATGGACTTGGCACAACCTCTTCCATTAATATAAATTGTAAGTAATTAATTCGTAACAATATATCATGTTGATGTGACTTTTCGTGTAAATAAATTTGTGTAACTTACAGTTTTCATTATGTTTTAGTTGGTAGACTACCGTACTAAAATAGTGGTATTAATCTATCGAATATGAGTAGTTAGAATAATTGTATAAATAAAAACGTAAATCAAATAAATATGAAATCAAAACCGGTAACATAAACATTCATTATAATTTTCTGTTTTGATGTATAGACCTATTAACCAATTAATAATATTGTTCTGTAAATGTAAAAATACACTTTACATATTTAAATTAAAAAAAAAAAAACACACATTTGAAATTGCTGAAATATCAATAATTAACACCCTGTACACTATTAACACAATAGGTTGACACTTATACATTTAAATTAAAATGTTACTTGCAAGCACAAACGTATTCGCTAACGTCAGGGCCATCTGACGGCTACTAGCGCAGTAGCGCCTTCATACGCAAGGTAGGCCAGGGCGCAGGGATCATCTCCTGACTCGACGTCAGTACATGTAGCAGCTAGGGTCGCTGACATCGCTTCCTTCTGGGAGGCAGAACTCAAAGGCCACTAATCATAATCATGTCAAATTCGGACAGTAGCCTAAGTCAATTAAAGTATGTTCTTTCCAATTACCCTATGTAGCTATTTTTGCTCTCAGAAAAAAAAATCCCTTTAAAATAAGTGGCCTCCGGAAATACCAAAGTACTCAAATTAGTAGGCCTATGCAATAACTAGCAATAATGCCAAAGCAATAATTTTTATTCTTATAAGTTTAAAGTCACTGGCTATTTTAGGTAGTGATGATTAAAAAACTAACCTGTCCAATTTCAGAACAGTGAAAGATGTCTGATCCAAAAGATAGTGATTTTGAAACATCTTCTAAGGACTCATGTTTCTTTGAGGAATCTTCTTCAAGCACCGTTATGACCAACCCTCCAGGTATTAAATGATAAAATTTTTAAATGTATGTGGCATTGTTTAGTAAGTTTAGGTCATGTAAGTTCAGAAAAATGTGTAATCATGGTCCTTACGACAAAATTCTAAGATCTTAGAAGCTATGTGGGTACTTTGCTGTTAAAGGGATCATTCTTTATTATCGATGATTTTTTCGTTACATCGAAATTTTAATAATACACCTATAATAGAATTACTTAACCTATATTTGTTGCCGAAAACATTTACTTTTTAATTAATTATCGGTTTTGACAGCTTATGACCCCCACAGCAAAGAATAGAACGGCACTTGCTCCGTTTCCCTGAAAAGCATTCTATATATCGTTCAGACGGGCTCACTGCAACAAACGTCAACCCAGCACTGAATTCTCTTGGTCCAATATCAACAACTGCTTGGTTCAGGGTCATGCCTTGGAAGGCTCATTGCGAAGGATTTGTCAAAAGAAACGCAATCACGCAGACTAAAGGGTGATGTATCTCACCCCTAGCCGAAATGGAGGGTATTTCAATGTAGCCTATGATTTATGTGAAAAAGCACCCAATCCACCAATTCAAAATTTGGATTGTCATAGCAGACCAAATTGAGTGACCCTTCATTTTATAGACCTTGTGACACTAAAAATAATGGCTTAAAATAAATTGAAACTGGTGGATCCTAAAAAAAATGGCGGTCACAAACGTCTTCATTTACATCATTATAATCTTCATTGTGCAACTGTATTCCGAAGGAGCTGAACCAACCAGAGCTACTTAAATGATTTATTTGAGCTATTTCCCTTTTTTTAAATTCCAAAATTTTTATAAAATGACTTTAATCTTTATCAAATTTTAATACTTAGGAACTTAAACCCTTTGAGGTCGAATTTTTTTCTCATTTTACGCCGAGTAGGCCTATAGTTTGTCATTAGAGCAGTTGGGAAAATGGCGTCAGGCGACCTATACTCGTCATTCGACCGCAAAGGGTTAATCATAATCAAAGTTTTGGGCCACCATATTTTAGACAGATAGCCTAAGGGTCTCAATTTAAATTGTTATTTTTAGTGTAACAAGGTCTAGATAAAATTAAGGTTTACTCAATTCTGTTTCCTATGACATTGCTAGTTTTTAATTATTCAAATTTGTAGAATGGGTGCTTTTTTACATCGAAACAAATTTTAAAAAATACCCGCCATATAGGCTAGAGGTGAAATCTACCTCGGGCTTGCGTCATTGTATTTCTTTTGACAAACCCTTCAAAATGAGGAGTCACTCAATAGGGGTTGTTATTTGAAAAAAATAAGTCACCCCCATCAGGGTAGGGAGGCCCTGTTAAGGGAGTTAAAAAATATTTTGGATGTAACAAATTGCGGAACCTCTGTTAACAGTCAAAACAACAAACAGAATATTTCTATCTAGGCCTATTTCGGTTTAAAAAATACAGATTTGTTTCCATACTTACTTGTGAAATTGGTGCTCACATAAATATCAATTTTTTTGAATACTCGTTCACCATTTTGGCTAGGGGTGAGATATCCACCTCTAGTCTGCGTAATTGTGTTTCTTTTGACAAACCCTTTGAGGCGTCACTCAACAGGAGTTGCTATTTGAACAAATAAGTCACCCTCTACCGTGTTAGGGGGGTTAAAAATATTTTCGATGTAAAAAATTGGGGAACCTTTGTTAACAATCAATGCCACAAACAGAATATTTCTATCTCTATCTATTACGGTTTAAAAAATATAGGTAGATTTGTTTCCATGCTTAGTTTGCACACTGTACATATATAAAATAAAACTTTAACTATAAGCAATAAATTAACAATCATGCATGGTTGGCTAACTTTGAACTGAGTATAAGTTCATAGAAGAATTATTTATTGTGTTATTCAATATTATGTAAATAGCTAAAAGCTCTATCCTTGTAGTAAACAGTACTTATTTAACAAAATTTAATTTTTAAGTGGTACAAAGCCAGGTATAAAATTCTCATCAATAAATAGCTTTTGCACTTCCAATACTCAGGTCTACTGTTTCTTGTTTGTAGTTAAAGAGTTATATTAAACAACTTAATCAAAACCTAACTTAGAATAATGTTTTAGTGAAGCTGTTGCTTTTCTTTTACCGATTATTTATTTCAACCAGGCCTATTTTAGTTTCCTCTTATTTAAAAAAATCGTTGTAATAAGAGTTCTCCAAACATTCTTTTAGAAAAAAAAAATAGTTGCTTAGGCCTAAATGGTTCATTTGTCTTTAGGAGATGAAAAGCCACTCATTACTAAAGAGATGGAAGCTGAAGAAAAAAAAATGACAGAAGAGAACCAGAAGGAAGAAGAAAGAATAAAAAAACAATACAAAGAGGTTTGTTAAGAATTCCATTGTATTTTATTTAGGTCTACGTAGGCCTATATTGCTATAACTTATTGTATTATAATATGACAGATCCCTAACCCCTTAGTCCCCCCCCCCCCATTCCTGAAAGAATTAGAACGTAATTTATTTATTATTTAGCAATAACAACATCTACAACTTCTCATAATGGTGGTCTGCGTCCTGCGACAATCCCAGCTGTCTCAGATCGTGCTCACCACTGCACATGCCTCGCCTTCTTCCCTTCTCCTCCGACCCCTAGGATATTAGACTACAGCTTATTGAACTAGTTCGTCGCGGATCAGCTGTGATGCAAGCGTCACATGCTGTAGCATCTTACTAATATTATAAATCTGAAAGTTTGTGTGTGTGTTTGTGTGTTGCTCAATCACGCATAAATTACTGGACGGATTGAGCTGAAATTTCGCATGATCATACCTCACATTCCCGATTAACATTTAGGCATATTCTTATCTCAAAAATCCTTTTGGGTTCCGCCCCAGTGGCTTCGTAGTTCCCCATGTTAACCTTATGAGTAGGCCTATTCATTTAAAGGGAATTAAAGAATTTAGTCAGCTGCTTTAACTTTACAAGTTGGTTCTATAATATGCAATAGCATTGAAAAGTTAAAAAGTTGAAAAGTTTCCCAACAGGGTTCAGCACTATTATTATTTTTTTTGCATATATGACAACAGCTAATTTGAACCAAGCAGCAACAAAAAGCTGTGATACACAATGAGAACTGTCAAAGTAAGATTGTTTACAGTTTAGAGTTTTTAATTTAATGAATAATTTGTGATATTGTACGAATGTTTGATAATTTATTTTTTCTATTGTTAAGGTGCAGTGGTAGAACATTATGGCAATGGTAGATGTGTTATACTATATCATACTGTAAATTTATGAACCAAATTGTATCAAACTGTGTCCTCCCCCCATTGCAAACGCAAAGCTTGAGTGTAACTGCAATAAGCATTTTATACTTATATGCCAACCCCGTTCAAAGGACGGGTGCTCTGCTAGTGTTTAAATAATGATTAACCTTGAACAACAATTCTTTTAGGAGCTGGAAACCCAAGAAAAATTAGAAAAGGAAGCCAAATACAAACGGCTAATGCATCTGCTGAATCAAAGTCAGTTCTACACCAACTTTTTAATGAGAAAAATCGAAGCTTCGAAGATAGAAGAAGCTAAACGGTAAGCATTAACATAGTTTTTTTATTTTATTTTTATTAATTTTGAAACTTTTATCAAAGTAACAGTAAAGGAAATATAAAAAAACAGTAGTGTGATTTATTAGGATACAACACATTATTATAGTAACAAAATTATTAAAAATTAGTCTTTTTCACTCTTCCCTCAAAGTTGATGGGGATTCTTAGTTTCACACACTTTAACATTAATACCTTTTAGTATAATTTTTATTGATATTTTGTAAAGTATATCTTGGTTTTAGGGAAGAGGCTAAAAAAAGAGCTGAAGAAAAGAAGAACAACCTTGAATCTCGCAGTTTGAAAGAAGTCAACGTCGTTGACAATTCTTCTCCAAAAAATCAACCTAAGAAAGACCATGGGACTAGGAACCCACGGAAACGCAGCAAGATAACTGATTACATAGATCACGAGGTAATATATCAGGTGTTTTCTGTTTTTACAGAATAACTTAAACCAACGCACATAATTTTACATAAAAATATCAAAAATATTTTGTATAAAATGTCTCTTATTTATATTAAAGTAAGTTCACTGGATCCACTTCAAATAACGTTCAAAACTAAACAGGAGATTAAAATAAATTAATTTATGTACCATCAGATTCTTTTCTTCTTTAACTAAAATAGTTTGCACAAACATAGTAGAAACAGCAGAATGACTCACTAATCAGGCCACAGTCCACTTGTGCAGCTCTGAGCACTCATGACAAACCAAAAGGGGAGCCTATTAGTGTGATCAAATGGTTCTGTCTCACGGTCGGTAAATTCTAACTGTTTTAAACCTGTAAAACCTCATTCTCAAATGTTGATGCTAGATATGGTAATAGATAAACTATATTCTTTTTTCTATTGTAAAGCTATTTGACTTTTCTTAGACGATCAACAATGTAAAGAAGAGACGAACAGATTCAGATGAGATTTTAAAGAAACCAGAACCAACCCCTTTGTCGGGTGTTTGCATCAACTCCATGGGGTTGGAGGTTTCAGAGAACCAGCCAGTGTTGTTTGAGGGAGGAGTTCTACGAGACTATCAGCTGCAGGGACTTGAGTGGATGAAGGTACTTGAATCCAGCCTGGATCTTATTTATTATACCACTGTTATGATCTGTATGTATAAAATGCACGACCACAATCATGCTGTATATTGCAGATCATACTATCTAGGAATCGTTTTAAGCTAGGTGTTTTTCAAGTACCTGTATTCACCCACCTTGCTATCTTTTGTGAGAATATACTAGGTAGCCTACTATAATACTTTTAAACCCAAAGCAAACAGGACTGGCAGTTCAAATATGAATCAGCTTTAAAACTTTATCTTGAAGAATGTTGTACGTTCCGTGTTGTAGTTGAGCAACACTTTATAGCTATTATTAATATTTTGCAACTTTATTAAAAAGATGAAAACTTAAAATCTGGTTAACCAAGAGTGTTATCATCATGAGTTTTGGCTGATGCTAAGCTTTTGCTGATGTAGCCATCATTACAATGACACTATGTTCCCATATAAGTTCAGTTTAACAGTGAGAAAACTTTGCCAGTATTTCAAAACATGGACGCATTTAACAAATTAGTGAAAAATGGCTAATTTATTAATCAGTGCAAGATAATTCCATTTATGAAATGAAGAGCTGATAAGATTGGTCAGTTCCTAAACACATATAAGGTACATGAAATTAACAAATCAATACCAAAACACATTGATCGATTTGCTTACCAAACCGTTATAATTTCAGGCACTGTTTGAAAATGGCGTCAACGGTATTTTGGCAGATGAGATGGGATTGGGTAAGACAATCCAAGTGATCGCACTGCTTTGCCACCTGATTGAGAACGGGATACCTGGCCCTTACCTGATAGTGGCTCCTCTGTCCACATTGCCCAACTGGGTCATGGAGTTTGAACGATTTGCACCTCAGGTAGGAACCTTACTGTAATGACAAAACATTTCACTGAGTTTTCTTTTCTTTACTATCTCTGAAACCAATAGTTTAAATTTTTAACGTATTCAGGCATTAAGTCACTTCAGATTTTTAAGCACTAGAGTAGTACTGTACATTTTATTTGTTGACCTTCATAATCATAATTAGCAATGGAAACAACATGAGAGCTAGATATATTCAGTGCAAAAGAACTAAAAAACTTTCTAGTAATTAATTTTAAAAATAAAATATAAACTTCGTTTTGCATCTGAAAGAGCTCTTATATTGTTTTAGGCTATTATTTATATACTCAAGGAAATTTATTTTACAGCTTCCAGTGATATTATTTCATGGGTCTAAGTATGAGCGACCGAAAATGTACAAAAAGCTGAGGACCAAAGTGAGGATCAATGAGAAGGTGACTATTGCCCCGGTGGTTCTTACGTCTTACCAAGTGCCACTAAAGGAGACCAAGTTTATGTCCACCTTCAACTGGAGGTATATCATTGTGGACGAAGGTCACGCATTGAAAAACGCCAACACACAGCTGTCACGGTGTGTACATGTTTAGTTCAAAATATATTAGCCTAGTTCCTCAACAAAAATTATATTCAGTTTACTTGAATGCTAAATCCTTTTCTCTTTCGATTGCATCACCATACATTTTTTGGTTTATTTTATTCTCAACAAGAGTCAAAAGATTTGGAGATTTGTTTAGCTATGTTGACAACATTGTTGGTTGATTTTGCATGTCTAAACTTACACAAACATTTAATTCCGATTGAAAAACTACAACAGGGCCCATGGAAGTGTTAACATTCACAGTGAATCAACTGATTGACAGAACTGTGGGAAACAATGGTTGGCAGGTATTAAGCTGGGAGATGGCTGACCTGTACCAAAATCCCAGAGTCCAGCCGATGTTAAGGGTTGTGAGTGTTTAAGCAATGGGAAAAGGAGGTAGTGATTGGGCTATGCAGAGTGCAGTGTTAGGTTTTCAATTTCAAGACCTTGTGTCGTGTTTCCATGCCAGTAGCTAAACCATTTTAATATTCTAATTTACCCTTGTTATTACGACATTAATTTTATATGGTAGTGGTTTATGAAGCTTTTTAAGAAAAAGAAGCTCAAATTAAGTGTTCCGCTTTATTTGGTGATCTTTTCAGTCTAAATTGTAGTTACCCATGTTATCACCTTACCTATGCAGGCACTCAAACCTCAGAAGGTTTTTGACCTTACCAACAAGTCACCACCTTTCTGTGTCTTCATCCATCCTGTCTCTGCTCTTAGCTTTCCTATGTCTCTTTACACCTGGTCCTGCCGTCTTAGCCGAGGTTATCTTGGTGGTCATCTTCCCCAAGGAAGACTTTCAGACACCATTTTTAGCATCTTCTTCTCTTCTCTCACATGACCAGCCGATCTCAGTTTCCTACTTTTTATTTGAGCTGTTTTGAGGGGCCTGTTCGGATTAAGGACCGTAGATAGTTGTTAGTATTTTATACTCAAAAACAATTATTTTATTGGTTCTTCGTCAATGTCCCGGTTTCAAATCCATTGAGTACTATTGGCTGTAGCCTATTATTGTTTTGCAGAGTTTTTGTTTTGGGTTTCCTTGACAAAAATCCAACTTTTAGCAGTGATTTAAATATGTATTAAATATATTTATCAGGCATTTATCTCTACTTCTTTATTTTCTTGGTCACTCCTAAGTATTTGAGAACTATACAGTACTTTTGAATTTGTAATCTTCAACTTGTAAAGAGTGTTCCACAGGAACATACTCTGTTATTATGACAGTTCTTGAAGTTTTTAAATTAAGTAAGTTCAAGTTGAGTGTTCACTGAATTTGATGATCATTTTTTCAGATGCCTGAAGTCATTCAAGTCTGTCAATCGAATTCTACTGACCGGAACACCGCTGCAGAACAATCTGAAAGAGCTGTGGGCTCTGCTCAACTTTCTACTGCCCGAGGTGTTTGATGGCCTCACCATGTTTCAAGCCTTGTTTGACATCGAGGCAGTCACTTCTCATGAGACGGGGAGTTCCATCTTGCAGAAAGAGGCAGAATCTCACATCCTTACCACACTCCATCAGGTAGCCTATTGGTTGCATTTAGTGTTCATAATGTACTCTTCTGTATATCACAGCCTAGCTTATCAAGACTGAACATGGTGTTTTTGATTAAGCTCAACGGATGGTTCCATTAGTAGGCTACTTAAGATTCAGGAATTTGTCTTGAATTCTCCTGGAACTCCTTGAATTTTTTAACCAGATTTAAAGTAGCCACCCTGCTGAATCTGTTGCTGTATGAATAATTGATCTACACATGCAGTTCCGTTTACATTGCATGTTAAAAGGAAAACCTCTTGAGTCTTTTCCAGTTCAAATTTAATTTTTTCTGTACCTTGCCTGTGTAGTCAGAGATACATTTATTAATGAGTGTAGGATTGCGTGTTGGCATACCATTTTTTATGGATCAAATTGTATTTTGTAAAATGTAATATTCTTACAAAATGTTGATCACATTATTTGTTGTTGCTGGGAGACATTAATTTTTTCTGACCAAGCTGCTCGGGGCAGACGACATTAACATAAGAAGCTTTACGAGAGATGTAGCCTAACGTCAGCTGATTCTCTTTCCAAAAGTAGAGATTGAAGCCCCAATTGATTTTTGATATCGCTGAAGGGAATTGTTGTGTATTGGTTACCCAACTTGAGTTCAACAACTCGAAGAAACCTTTAGTTACTGTAGGTGATCAATTTGCCAAGTCATTTCTCCCAGCCAGGGTTTCCTCCCATATTTTCCATCTTGTAAAAAGCAACACCAATGTGATTTGTGTGATTTGTTTTGCATTTTAATTTATAAAAAAAAAAAATAATATTTGTAAGTTCAAGCCAAATAGTAATATTAACATTGTTTGTCATTAAGATTTTGACTCCTTTCCTTCTGAGACGAGTGAAGGCGGACGTAGAGTTAAACTTGCCGACCAAGAAGGAAGTCCTGGTTTACTGTCCGATGACTGATCTACAGCTTAAACTGTACAAAGCTACCATTGACAAGGTCATTGAGACCTTGCTCAAATCTGACAAGGTAAGTCAATCACAGTTCATTTACATTGCTAGCACAAGAAATATTCTCGTCTCAACACCACTAATACTGGTTTGTTTTGCAGAAAGACAAATTTGTTTAATGAACCCTAATTTATTTTTTTGGAAATCACATTTGATTCACAAAACACATTTTTGGAGAAATTTTCCTTGGGTTAAATTTTTATTTATTTTAGGCTCTACTCTCCGTTTTCTTTACATTATTAGTTAGGTATGAGGTAGATCTAAACAATTCCTGGATATTATTCTTTGGAACACCAAGCATAGTTCCTAGTAAGTAACTTAATTTGTTGCTGTTTAAACAACTGTTGGGAAGTAAATATCATGATAGTAAGTAATTAAATTCAGTATTGGCTTAGTTTCCGTTTCTAAACAGTGGATGGTGGTTTTTTATTTCTGTGAATGCCTGTTTTTTTTTTTTTTTTACGTGATGTACTGTAAGCAAACACTTAAAACAGTGTTTTTAATTTCTTGTACTTTTAATTCAATTTTGAAGACAAAGCAAGGAGGAATAGTTGAATTTACGGATGTCACAAGCGGAAGATAACATTTGAAAATCTTTATTCCAGCAGCATAAAAACAAAATATAATGTACTTAGTTACTTGATGGAATAGATATAAATGTGACATGATAAAAATATAAAATCAAAACAAAGTCTAGGGGCCTATATATAACCAAACGAAACTTGTTTCTCATGTCGACTTATTAATCATTTCGCTCTTACCTCTAGATAAATGAGGAAGTTGTCAGTTTCCTATACTGTACTTGTTAATATTATTTATGTCAGAGAGCAAGTATTTCTCGGTTTTATTGTCCAAAGTGGGTTGTGTCAAAATACCAATAAGTAGCACATTCTGTGAATACCTACACTTGACGGTTTTTAAAATACTCGACAGCAGAAGCTAGCCTCCGACGTTAGTTTCTAAGGCATTTATTGGCAGTTCACAAATAACTTCTAAAACTAAAATTCACTTAAATAGATTAGTTAATTAATACATAAATGTATTGGTTCTTATTTCATTAACTGTTCATTAACTGCAAATAAAATCACAATTTTGTACATTAAAATATTTAAAATATTAATGATTTTAAGGATTTTACCTTTAAATTATAGCTACCTAATCATTTTAATGTATCACTTGTGACAGGAAGAAGATGTGCCAATAGATCTTGATGGTCCGAGAAGGAAAAGAAAATGTGCTGAACAGAAGAAAGACTATACATTCAAGGATTTTGATTGGTTTGGAGAAAATACTCCTCCTGAAGAAGAGGAAGAGTAAGTTGTTAAACCTGCAGACTAAGGAAATTTCCATTTGCCTAGTTGGATTTTCACTTAAATCTATTTAAATGTATTTAGCCTAGAAGGAAAGAGACGACTTGTATAAGGACAAATCTTGAAAATTAATAGTTCAAGCCTAAAACTAGCAATTTCAAACAAAAATCCAACTGTTTTGGGGTTAAAATATTATAACTACCTTCTAAAGTGTAAAAAAGTTTTAGGCTGAATATTTTAAAGAAAATTAAAAATATTTCTTGTACCAAAAGCGCTTTACAGTTTTGAAGAAATTTTTTAGTTTTTTTTTATTCATTTAAATAAACGTTGGTTTTTATAAAAATATGTATCAGTTTTCTATCTTGTTGTACAATGTATGATGTATAGTTCTGTATGCCATTCATGTATACTCTTGTATATTTTTGACTAAAGTATCTTTGAATTAAATTAAATATTAATTTAAACGGATGGTGTTTTTGAAACTGCCTAGTTTTGAAGTATTACTTACAACATAGTACTATATTCACACAATCTCTTATACAGTTGAATTTCCTCTTGTGTTACCAAGTACATATTTATATGTGCAAATAAGCTTTGACACCTAGGAGCATCAATCAGTCCACCTTACCTACGCTACTCAAAGCAACAAATTCACCTAGTTCTTCTGCAATGAGGCTTATCTAGTTTATTACTAGGGAAATTATCATTTATTTGATTAGGATTGTATTAATGTATAATTTGTTTAGATAATAAGAGCTTACTGTGTTTGTTATATAACTATGCAACTGCCCATGTCCAGGCCTCAGGAGATACTGGTAGAGCCTGGATTCCACAACAACATCAAGATGGTTAATCCAGAAATGCAGCTGCGCAAGATCGCCAACCACCCTTACCTGGTGCAGATGCCCGTTGAGGTAACTATAACCAATAGAATCCTTGAAGATTACTGCTATGTGTTAAAGACACACAAGTATTCAATGTGTCATTGTCTAAAATATTGTTGTTTGATGGTAGGTGGTTGATGGAGAGAGGGTGATGAAAAGCAGTGAGGAGGTTGTTAGTGTCAGTGGCAAGATGTTAGCGCTCAACGCAATGTTGCTTAAACTGAAACAACGAGGACACAAGGTAAGTCATTGCCAACTACTGCATGCTGAACATAAATTCTGTTCAACTCTTATAAAAATTCCCCGACTTGTGTGTTTCATAAGAAGTCCAAAGAACATGAGAATTTTTTTTTTAGTGACTGCTGGGCAACTTAAAATCAAAATAGTTCATAGCATTAGGAATTGTAACCATCCCACATTTTTGTTGTCAGACTTTTTTTATACAGTATCAAAGTTCATGTATGGTCTGATGTCAATAAAATATTGTTGCGATATCTAATGTTTTTGAGTGGTATTCTACAAATTTTTTTGTTATTTCAGGTTCTTATTTTCTCATTTTTCAAAATCATGTTGAACCTCATTGAGGAGTTTGCTCTGATGCGTGACTACCGCTACGTTAGACTGGATGGGAGCGATAACATAGAAGATCGCAAGAAGAACATCAAGGCATTCAATTCAGACCCGAACATCTTTTTGTTTCTCATCACGACAAGAGCAGGAGGTCTCGGCCTCAACCTAACATCAGCTGACACCGTCATCATCTTTGATAGTGATTACGTGAGTAGATTTGCAAAAGTCATCACTTTCAAAACTAGTACAACCTTGTGAATAGTTCTGATCATGCTACAATTATCTGAGATAAAATTCAACTTTTATAAGGATATTATTTGTTTCAGGGACAGGTTATTGGATTTTAACATTTTCTGTGTTGCTGAGTTTTGGCAACTAACTTAAATTATGAACTACTGTATGATGAACCTGGCATTTAAAAAAATTTAAGGTCTTAGCAACATTGAACCCTTTCAGTTCAGTAGCTGAAATTGAATTCAGTACAAACGGCTTTTGTCTTAGGATTTGGCCTAAGTTAAAAGACAAGTTTTTTTGTCTGTAGAATTTACTTTTTTTACCCTTTGCGGTAGAATGGCGAGTATAGGTCGCCGCCCGCCATTTTCCCAACTGTTTAAAAATGGCGACATATACTTTAAAAAATAGAGAATCAAAAATGTTTATCTTTGCGGTTGAATGGTGAGTATAGGTCGCTGCGCGCCATTTTCCCATCTGCTCAAATGGCAACCTATACTCGCCAAAAAAAGGAAAAAAATCTGAACTTAATCTTATCTGAAGGGTTAATAGGCTGTGCTTATTTTTCATTTTTATCAATTTGATGGGTTCTTCTTCTTTGAATAGCTGCAGCCTTTTTAAATACTTGTGTGTATATAAACTGCCTGCTTTAGTTACATTGTACTGGTTTAAATTTTTACAGCTAAAATCAATATAATGTAATTAATTACATTTGTATTTTTTATTCTTAAGATTGATCTCGGCCTAATTATATTTTTTTAAATTATAAGTATAGTACACTCCCGATGAACGGAAGTTGTTGAGACTGAGTCTACATCGGTTACCGGGAATCTTGGATAACAGACCACCTCACAACATTCTTACACTCATCCTTCACTCATATTTGGTTTAAAATACTCACCTAGAGAGGTGTCGTCCCAATCTCATAATGATAATAATAAAAGGTTGCTGGGTCATTCCACGCCAAATCATCCAGCCAAAAGTAGACTTGTCGCCCAAGGTTTTCTGATTTCAATAAAATTTTGCATAGATAATCTTATCTTACCAATATTATAAATGTGAAAGTTTGTGTGTTTGTTTGTTTGTTTGTTTGTTTGAAGTTCAATCACGCATAAACCACTGGATTGGGCTGAAATTTGGCATGATGATAGCTTACATTCCCGATTAACATATAGGCATATTCTTATCTCAAAAATCCTTTCGGGCTCCGCCCCAGTGGCTCTGTAATTCCCCATGTTAACCTTATGAGTATTCATATTTAAAGGGAATTAAAGAATTTAGTCAGCTGTTTCAACTAAAAAAGTTGGTTCTATGATATGGAAAAGCATTAAAAAGTTATAAGATTTACCAACAGGGTGCAGCACTATATTTTTTTTGCATTTATGAAAACAGCTAATTTGAACTAAGCAGCAACAAAAAACTGTGATTCGCAATGAGAACTGTCAAAGTAGGATTGTTTACAGTTATGTATAGGGGTGTGCGATGCATCGAAAATGCATCAAAATTTTGATTCGATTCGATTCGATGCATCGAATCGCGATTCGATTCAGTGGTGGTCAAAAAACGATTCGATTCACGAGGGAGTCAGTATCCATATACGAAAAACGCCTGCAGAAAGTCAATGCAATACCCGCAATACAGGAGCGCGTTGCTGTTGCGTTTCCTTTACGAAGGCGTTCTTATTTAATACATTCTTTGCATTAAATATAGCTTTAATTGTTTTATATTTTTTTGTTTTGACATTGCAAATGATTAGAGGTTTTGTTTTTTGTCTTGATGTAAGCAGTGTGTGAAATATTTTACTACTGTGAACCTAGCCAAAACAAGGTAGGTTACTCCAAAATCATTTTAAAAATAAGTCTGAAAAATTGTTACTTAATACTTAACTAGTAAGATCAATGTTATAGACTGATACATTTGGTATTTTTGTTAGGTGTCTGTCGGTCCCCGTCCCCGAATTTTTGTTGGGGCAAAAGAAAAAAAAGAATAATTTATTTCCAAAGAAACACTCTTATATTATTATATCTATTACAGAGGAATTAAAATGTTCAAATGAGAATTAAAAATTAAGTTGGCTCACGACCTTTAAGAATAAAGACACAACAGAGCAATTACCGCACTGCGACTAGCCAGAGCAGGTCTAGTCGTCTACTGATAAGAGTAACAAGACAAAAGCCGTGACGCAACACTAACAGTGCAAAGAAAACAGAGTCAAAAGAATAGAAAGACTATTTATCCAGACATATTAGTATAATCATTTATTGTTCATTCAATACCTAATTAAAAATATATTTAGTATTTTACATAATAAATTATAAACAAAAGAAATATCTGATATAGTGAACAGATCTGTATCTTGGTTAAATAGTGTTAAAAAAATATATTTCTAAGATCCAATACAATATTTACAACTCACAAATTACATTGAATTAATTTCTTTGAAAATAATCTCTAACAGTTTTGTGTTTTTGAATAAAGAAATATATTTCTTTGTCTCTACTTCCTTGTTTCATCACTTGCATTTTGTCAGCAATTGAAGCAACTGGGTAGCAACCGGGTGGTGTAAGAGGGGAGGGGGAGGGTCTATGACCTTGAATTCACACATCGTTGCCCGGGCCTGGCTGGTGAGACTGATTCATTGTTTTTGTTGACATACTACTACCCTTCCTTAAGAGAAAAAGGCCCTGCTGTTCCAAAAACATTGAGGGTAGTTTAAAAACATTGACCTGTGTTGCCAAGGGCACTAGAAGATAGCATTTAACTTTCTTGTCTCTTGATTTAATATTATTTTAATCTTCTATATATTATTTAAGAGTTACTTTTCGGGTACCTAATTAGTTGTGATATTGTTTAGCTTCATTTTATGGATTTTTAATTCTTTTCATTCATTAGCTATCAAAATCAGTTGTTTTAGGATTTTAATCTCTTGCAGTACCGGTAGGTCTATACTACTGTATGACATTATATGCATTTTTTAGTCCTTATTAATTATACCATAAACAATGTTTGTATGTTATTTACTGTTTTTGAGTTTTATAGGAAATTAGTTTACACAATATCTTTTCTTCAATGAGTTCTCTACTTGACATGTTGCTTCTAGCCTATTACTATTTTAGGCCCTATAAAAATAATGCCTATGTAAAGCTGTAGGCCTACTGATGCCAATAATAATTCTTTATTTATGATGATGTAACAAATAATGTAAGTGTGAGGTTATTATACTAAGGAGGTTAGGAGGCAGGGAATGAATGATACATGATGCATGGTGGAAACATATTATTTTTATTTTCTTCTTGCTTGCAGTCCTGAAGCCGGTCCACAGGCCCTAAACTTGTGATATGTAAATTTATTTCTTAATGGTCTTTTTATATTAAGTTCCATTCAAATTTGTTGTAATTTAGCTACCGGTACCTATTTAGTTATTTAAACAGTTATTAAAATGAGAATGAGTGTCTTGATAAAAAAAATATTTTCTTCTTTCTTGCAGTTGAGCCAATTCCAAGTAAAAATTATGAAATAGGCAAGTAAAGCAGCTCACTGGTATTTCCAGCAGTTATTCTAATACATATGATTGAAAATAAATATTTTTTCACCTAAAATTCATATTTAAGTATGAATAGGCCTAATACCACATCAACAAAAATTTGTATTACACAAATGAGATAAATTTTAATTATTGTTAATCCACTCAATTGACAATTATGAATAGAAAAATACCGTATTGCTTCGAATCGAGTTGCATCGAATCGAATCGAAAATCTTTTGAATCGAATCGTTGCTTCGAATCGAAAATTTTTTGCTGCTTCGCACACCCCTAGTTATGTATATGTTTTTCATTTCTTGAATAATTTGTGATATTTTGCGAATTGATAGTTTATTTTCTCTATTGTTTGGGTAAAATGGTAGAACATTATGGCTATGGTAGATGTGTAATACTATAGAATACTGTAAATTTAAAAAAGCAAATTTTATCAAACTGTGTCCTCCACCCATTGCAATCGCAAAGCTTGAGTATAACTGCAATAAGCATTTTATACTTATATTCCAACCCCGTACGAAGGACGGGTACTCTGCTAGGTAATAAAAGGTTGCGCTTAGACTTAAGGTTAGGGAATACAGTACCATATTAGGAAGTCAAATACTGTACCCATAAAATATGTGTTTTAATAATACATAGCAAATAAAACCTGATAAAGTAAAATCAACACTCAATAAAGCCTAATCTTTTTAATAACAAATTAATGTTAGAGAAAACAACAAAACAAACATGCCCAACACTTCTTAAACCCGAGCTTGAAAAATTTTAATACAGTATTACCATGTTAAAATTGTGCTAAACCAACACACCGCAATAAAGGTGGATCTTTCTAGTAAAAGAAGTATAAAATTACTTTTTTGTTTCAGTTTGACATGAGCTATACTTGACACAATGATATCAATATCAAAACATCGCAATGACAAGTCTGACAAAAGGGAAGTGATAATGCCGCAACCCCTAGGTCTAGCCTGATTAATGTGAAAAACAATACCGGGGCTCGTGTCTAGTGTCTTAGGACCAATAAAACCTTCCTTGGGTGTACTTCCCTGTTTACGATCTGCTGACAGATTGTCCAGAGCCAACCTAATACTGTGTGATTTTAATTTTATAGGTTATTGCGGATCATTCCTACATTATAAAGTACTTGCAAAGACTATATCAAGTAGCTGTCCAACGCATCGCAAGTAATTGCTATTTTTGCTTTACTGTTTACTTTAAACAGAAACATACGTTATAACTTAATTATTGTTTTCCAACCAAAAATAACAAAAAGTATAGGCCTATTATATTCAGGCCAAAAACTACCTCAGGTAACCATTCTAGTAATGTGGGGATGTGATAATCCAGAATGTACCATAGGCAATTGGTAAATACTCTCCATTGGAAGGATCCAATTAAGGTAACATTTTTGCTCTTTTTATTTTTAAATCACACATTTGACCCTCAGAATCCCCAAGTTGATCTTCAAGCAATGGACAGATGTCACAGAATCGGGCAAAAGAAGCCAGTGATCGTCTACCGCTTCATCAGCCGGGGTACTGTGGATGAGAAGATTCACAAAGTTGCTTGCGGAAAACGAAAGTTGGAAAAAGTTGTGATTAAAAAGGGTTAGTATATTGGTAGTTTATATTAAAATTCAAAGTTAAATATTCCACAATTACAAGGGCTAACCAGAAAGTAGATTACGTTTTTTTCTTTATCCGCTAGGGGCGGGGCTAGCACGACCATCTTGGTGTTAGTTTGTTATGCAGCTCAGTCGGTATCTAGCCGTGCTAGTAAGAGGTTTCTGCTGTACTCCGTTGAGTTACTGTGACAGTTTAAAATTTCTGTGTTAATTGAAAATTCCGCAAACTCTGAAGTGCGTGTAAACAAAAAAATGAATGAACTCTTTGGTTACAGTTTGGTAACCAAGCTTTTCGGTTATAATCTCAAGCAACAAACTTCGCGAAATTTGTGGAAAACCCATAGAGAGTTCTGTTATTGTGAACTTTCTAACTTTACTGACAACGGACATTGGCATCGACTTTTTCGACAAGTTTGGCAGTCACAATGCTGGATCTTCCACTTCGCTCTTCGTCGTGAACGTTAGTTCGGCCATTTTTAAATTTGATGACCCACTGACAAACTCCACCTTCAGTAATAATGTTTTCCCCATAAACTTCATAAAGCTACCGATAGATTTCTATCGGTTTACAGGTTTTTTTTTCAGTCAAAAACCTTAAAACTGCCTTCTCTGTTTTTTGTCTATCGACCAATGTTTAGAGCTGATTCATTTTTGAGCTGACCAAGTAGGCCTAGTTGGGAAAATCCTCCTTACCCCTAAGGTTGTGAAGAACCGTCATATACACTTGACACTAAATGTGTCGATGTTGAAACAAGAAATTCTGTATGAATTGGTTATACTACACCAACTCCTTTCTTATTGTCGTTCCATAAAAACACATCAAAAATACCATATCAAAGGTAAATGAAGATATTAATAAATATTACTAACAATATCAAAAAGAAAATTTTATTTTGGACCACTCCAAATCAAGGTAATTTTGGGATAGTTTCCCATGGTTGTGTAGACATCATTATCATCTTCCGCAATCGTTTGTGACTACGGCAAAATTAATTATGATCATCTCCTGTGGTCCTGTGGACATCATCATTGTGTTTCGCTATCACGGAAAAATTTCTGATCATTTCCCGTAGTCGTGTAGACATTGTTATTGTCCCCCACGATCATGGCAAAATCTGTGATAACTCTCATGTAATGGAGTCATCATCATCATCTTCCATGATTGTAGCAAAATCCTGATCATCACCCTCGGCCATGTAGACATCATCGTCTTCCCCTATCACAGCAAAATTTTGACGTTTTTCAGGGAGCAGTATCAACTATTGACGATTGATTCTTGATACCAATAATACCAATGACTATTGGTGGTGTCGAAAATCCTCTTCCACTCATGTTGGCTTTGTCAGAGCCTCACAGTGTAACTGTTATTTATTATTTCTATTAATGTATTATAAAATAAATTTGATTCAAATTATATTTAGAAAATGTTCAAGTCAAAACAAAAAATGTTTATTTACCAATTACAGATATTGTTATTGTTTCTAGTCTTAGTTGAAACTGAAGAATTCAAGTCTCCTTCTCTAGGAATACAAGTTATTCTTGGTTTATGTTTAGGTGCATTCAAGCTAAGTGGACCAGCGAAGAAAGCTATTAATGACCTTGAAGAACTCCAACAGCTTCTTGAAAGTGCAGACCACCATAAAGAAGTTCAGTCCAACGGACTAGGTAATTATTTAAGGGGTTCCCTAACAGAGTTTTATGGGTTTGTTAAATGTAAACTAGATCTCAATCTTTTGTTAGATATCTCTGACTTACAACTCCTTATTCTTAAATAAATTTTTCTTGTATGTATACAATTTTAAGGGATGGATGGGTCCTGAAATGGAGGAAATTCCCATTGCAAAGCAAATTTTCTAACTAATTTGATTTTTTTACTGTGGTTCGGTTCACAAGTTACGGTTGAAAGGAATTCTATTCTACGTTACATTTTCTTTTTGACACTTAATACGAGTAGGCTCTCCCTATTCACCTAGACCACATTTGAAGAACTGATGCTGAAAAAAGTTTAATACAGGTATGAAAGTAGATGTTTAATTACAATTTTTTGTCACAGTATTCACAGATGAAGAGCTAGAGGAGCTTCTAGACCGAACTGTTGACAACGGCGAGAATGAGGGAAATCACTTCAAGGTGTTGGCTGCCGGAGCATCTCAGTAACGTCTCAACATCTCAATGTATGCATCTCTTGTTTGTGTTCCTTTAATTCGTTCAACGTTGACACCTTTGTGGCCTGTATTTGTGAGGCAACGATGTACTTATGTTAATTAATCCTGTAGATACTCCAGTTTATTGAAACGTTGTTTCTAAGAAAGGTTTCATGAGCTGTGATAGTTGTAATGGTTTATTTTGCCATAATATTTTTTAATGTTGGATATAAGTTTCATGGATTCTTACTGTATAATACAGATATTTTCAACCTAAAAGTGCCTGAATGTCAGTTTTTTCATATTGCTGCTCATATTTTATATTTTATTAATACTTTTTTAAGGTAGGTTATGATGTATGTCATAGAAAATAACAAATACCACCCTGACCCGTTAATTAAATAAGTACATACTTAAAGTAGTGCTTCAAATTTTTATTTTCTTACAGTTTATTGTTGATTGGTTAGCTTTCAAGTTTTGCTCTGGTCTTATTAGTTTGAAATGAACCTGTAACCGTGTTCCATTTTGCATTGATTGTGTTTTAAATTATGACTATTTGTGTGAATGTCCAACGTGTGTAATTTACTGTCTTACCGTGTTCGTTTAGTTTCTCATAAAACATCTTTTACAAAATTGACAAAAGTATTGTAGTTACATGTTATTTATTGATTCAAAATCAGGTTCAGTTAAGAAGCTGTTGTCAATTCTTAGTATTAGACTAGCTTTAAGATGCCATGACAAACATCAGAAATGCGAACAAATGTTCCTCTTACTTAAGCAGTTGTTAATGTGTAAACTTTTGTACAATACATTTTGTTACCGTTTTTTATTAACGTAAATTTTATTTCTAACCCCTGAAAAAATTGCCTTCTCAAAAAAAACCTTCATGTATCAATCGCTTGCACAATAGGAATAAGAAATCACCATAAAATATCATATTATGCATACAATTAAACAGTAAACTTTCATGACAATCCCTGATCTGTACAATCATCCACAATATTAGAAGAAAGAACAATACATAGTACACTCCCTAAGCTGGCAACTTAAACTATTTTGCACTGGTCTAAGGTTTTCTTGTACACCAAATAAGCCCTTTTTTGCCTGGGAATGTTTGCAGGTAACCAGCCAGGCTTGAACATACTGGGCAGTAATGATAAACCTTTCTCCATTTTATGTTGTCATTGCCTAGTACAGTGACACCACATACTTGAGAGATTTATAAGTATTCAGTAATGAAGCATTTTTTGTAATTCACTGCTTCCAAAGGGGTAGCAGATTTTTATCCCCCTGGAATTTTACCCCCTGGGCGAATGTGACGTCACAAACCAGGGAGTAAAATTCCGGCCGCAAACTTTTGAGTTTCGCGACATCAGTTTGATGGATTAAACGCGGAATTAAACGTATCTTTTCACGGTTGTGAATTTAATCAGAAAACATCAAATTATAAAAACCTAGAGTGTACGGGCCGGAATTTTACCCCCGGACTTTTACCCCCTCATGAGGTCAGCTCAAAATGTACGGCCCGGATTTTTACCCCCGGAATTTTACCCCCTGGCCAGATATATAAATTAGTAAGAAGGCTTAATTATCTTCATTCAGTTTTAATTTAATAGTAAACATTTCATTATTAAGTAGCCTATCTTAATTTATTTATAACATCAACTAATCAAACAGGTTTTTAATTTTAATTTTGAGATTCGAGTATCAGGATTCGATCTTTGAAAGCTAACTATTGGTTAATATGACGTATAAACAAACATCAGAATGAGAATGGTAATTGATTTGAAGATTTCTTTTAACGATTTATTATACAAACGTGGTAAATAATGTTTTTCGTTTGTATTGCAGCGAAGAAATATTCACCCAATTATCATTTAAATAAGCTACTCAGTTTATTTTGCATACTTACTAACCAACAGTTGGCCCCAAACAAAAATCCCGAACATCAAAATTAAACAGCTAATTCTGTTTACTTAGAAGCGATTACAAAAAAAGGCTACATAATAATGAAATGTTTTCAATTAAATAAAAACAGAAATTGGAAAATCAATCATTCTTAAGAATTTCTATACCCAGCCAGGGGGTAAAAATCCGGCCCGTACGTCTTCAGTTGTCTAAACGTTAGTTGTATGGACAGGGGGTGAAATTCCGGTTTTTATTGCTAATCTAATTAATCACGCTCTGTCTATTTTCATTAGACTTCCAAATCCGCGGGGGTAAAATTCCGCCCCCGAACAAACTTTTGAGCGCTCAGGTTACTTATACGTCATAGTGACGTCAGCTTTGCCCAGGGAGTAAAATTCCAGGGGGATAAAATTCCGGCGACCCCTTCCAAAGCCCTGAACATTGGAACATAAGTCACAGATAGATGTATAGGTTTTATTATTATGAATTGCGTTTGATTTATCTTTTTCAAGTGCGTTTTAACTGTATACCCAATGATAATTAATTTACATTGGCCCTTTGATAACAAGACTAGGATTATTAAATAAGACTAACCTGTTATCAAAATTGACTTCTTATGGAGATTTGCATGTGATTGGGTAAAATAAAATCAAGGGAATTTTGACTATTTATCATGGGTGTGTTGTTATCAAGGTTCTAATATATTGCTATTCAGAACATTGAAGTCTCAAAACCTGAGTAAATCAAACAATAATATGTTAATATAAAATCTTTAATGATAAAACTTTTGATTATTAAAAATATAAATCAGTCTTTACAGGAATACATTCTCAACACACATAAAATATACTGTACATGTTCAAAATACTTGTACAACCACCATGCAATAAAAAGAGTTAGAGTAAGGCGCATTTCAAGGACAAACTATTTTCATTGTAATCGTTAGAAACCAGCAGCTGTGTTAACGTTAATACAAAGGACCAAAAGTGCAATCCCTGATCTTAAAGGTGGGCAGTTGGAGTTGAAGCTAACAGCTGATGCATATCTGTCAAAGACTGCTCCAAACTGCGGCAGAACTCAACAGCACAAGTCTCCGGACAAGAGACGAAGGCTGTGGTGCCAAACTTGATGTCGTTGGGTCTCGGGTTGTAACAGCAGCCATAACCATCTTCGACCAGAGGGCCGTAGATCATGAAACCGTCACTTTTCAGGGCTACCTAACAACATTTTTATAGTACATTAATATTTCAACTGTACACATTATTACTAGTTAAAATTTACACCTAGACATTTTCCAGGGAGAAATTTGGTCAAGTATAGTTTAACTCTTTCCGTGTGCAAGAACACAACACAACAAGAATAATAATAGGACAAGAATGATAATTTTATGCCCAAGCACTCCACTGTTCATCATAGGTGCTTAAAAGATGTTTAATGTAATATGGTTCAAAATCCAGACCTAAACTCACACTAAATATACATACTCAAGGACATTCACTCACGTTTTTAGTCAAAAAAGTAGTCACCAGCATTTAAAGAGACTAACTTTTTATTAATAAAAGGGATAACAGAGTTGCTTACCTTAGAAGCACAGATAGGCTCTAGAAAACAAAAAAATGTCTCAGGCTCCCCTGAGACAAAAAATGTTTGTTTTATGTGAGTTCTCATTAGGCCTGTTGTTACGTACGGTGCAGAAACCTGATCTCTTTCCGCAGTGAACACAAACGCATTGAGAGTGTATAAGAAAAATACATGGAGTGGTGAAGGAAGGGGATAGATGGAGGATATTGAAGAATGCAGAAGTAAATGACATTTTGCAAGGGGAGGATATTGTGCGCTTCATCAAAGCAAGAAGGATCGGTTGATTAGGCCATATGGAGAGAATGCCTCAAGAAAGACATCCCAAATAACTATTGTGCCAGAACATGAAAGGGACTTGGAGAAGGTGAAGGCCGAGAAGAAGATGGCTTGATGAAGTGGAGGATGGCCTGAGGACGTTGAGAGTGAGGAATTGGAGAGAGATGGCGCAAGATCGAGGCGATTGAAGGCAAATTGTAGCTGAAGCCAAGGGCCACCAAGGCCTGTAGAGCTGCCGAAGTAAGATGCGAGTTCTATAGCCCACCTGTAATTCTAAGCTAACCTAGCTGTTATTCCTATTATTTGTACAAAACAAAATCCTAGAAAGGAAAAAAACAAACTTCTGAGTATAATCAGCCTCTGTTGGCAGATACGTTCAATATTTTTATATTTTAAATACTAATATTCTAGTTCTACCTGTACTAACCTGACTCGTTGATATCCTCATGTGCAAGCTCTTCAGATAGCCAGGATCCGAGTATAGGGCAGGAACAGGTAATCCGTGGTCTAATGCTGTTAGTTTCAGGCCTAACAGGTGTCTATCCACACCAAAACCATTCAAAGCCTGTAAACAAACCCAGAAATGTGTGAACTTGGGACAGCCAAACAATTTAAATAAGCATAATACTATACTACAGTATTGATTATCCAACCCAAACAGCAAGATCGGATAAGTTAGGTCAAACAAAAATTAATGAAAGACTACCTCGGTTACCAAGAATCTCGGATAACACGGAGGATTCTGCAGACGGCTCGTCCAGCTTACCATCGGTCTGCGTCCAACCTAGTACGCCTAGTAATCAACTATGTAGTAGAAGGCCTAGTAGATTTTCATTTTCTAGGTTACTGCTGATTATTCTTACCAACAAATCACAAATTACTTGCGACTTTTAACTTTATTTAAACAAAAACATCAATCTATATATATGAATTACCTAAGCCGATCTTTGTGTCAAAATTGTGGGCGAATGGGAAGTCATAGAACGACGGGAGAGAGATCAAATTAAAGGTATCCATCCCGTGACGGAGGGAAAAGTTGCGGATTTTCCAAAACTTTAAATGAAATTTAGATATAACGTAAAATGTTCTCCATTAGTATTGGAAGTCATACACAGCTGGTTTTTATGCTACGTAAAATACTTAATTTTACATAACATGCACATTACATTACCATAGCTTTTTTCACATTTAGAGAAAAGGACGAAAAGGTATTGTGTTTTTCTACAACACTGCTTCAATTTTAACAAGGAGGATATCACAAAACTAAGCTGTAAGCAATTCACTTCTGCTTCTATAATCAATTAAATATTTGTAACTATATTATTCCTTTACTCAATGGTTAGCGTGTAAATTAATGTAAATACCGTACAAAGAACTAAGGAACGAGTATTATAAAAAATTGTATATATTATGTTAATTTCTTTTTATACTTTTATTTTTAATTTTGACTATTATTACAATTTGTGCCGTATCACACAAATTGATAACTTTCCTGCTGTGATATATGATAATAAATCTAGATTATCTAGCATTAGACGTTGGACAGTAGTAACAAGACGAGGGCTTGGACCGTTCCCATTCAAAACGTAAAAAATGTCACTGGCATAAAAAGACACACCAAAAAATAGGGATTGGCTTTCTTACAAAATGTAATACAAGTTTTCCCTCATTTTTGCTTACTGTGATATTTACATAATTAGTTGCAGGTAATGATTGATTCCTGACAAATGTTCAGTAGGTAAGGTACAGCATAGGCCTGTCTATTTTATGTGAAATCATTATAATTGTCTTTTGCTTTAATACAGTACTCTATGTTGTGCAATTCTTTTTTAACCATCAACTATTCATATGTAAATTTTTCAACTAAGTAAACTTTTAAGTGTATAATTTGAAAATTAAATCGTATGTTACAGTATTTTCAAACATGCATAAAGCTCCTCATATAATTTTTACTAGGTCGCCTTTTAAGTTAGCCTAGCTTGAAAGAACAATATTTCTTCAAACTAAGAGGTCAAATGAAATTTTGTTCCTGAAATCAATTAGGTGGATGTGTAACTATTGTATACAACAAATTTAAACATCTATATTTTCTTTTTAGTGTCCTCTCCGTTGCAAAGCACGTGTACAGCAGCTAGTACTATTAAAGTAATTACTGTTTCCAACTGAAAATACATTTAAGCAAATACAAAACGGCCTTCGATAACCGGAGGGCTCATGTGGAACAGTTGACAAACCCTGTGGTATTTTTAATCTATTGTTGAGTATGCAGCATGGGAAAAGAAAGAGAAAGTAGATTCAGTGCAGCCACCATCACCTGTATTGTGTAATCCTTGTGAGCATTCACAGCTTTTTTCAGGGCCAGAACTTTTTGCTGAGGTGACGTCGCTGTGTCAAGCATCGCTTGTGCAAACTCAACACTTTCTTGAGAGCACGAGCGGATGGTCTCTGTACGGCCGTGCAGGTACTTGCGTGTAGACGCTGTCTCGTAGTGGGCCCCAGGCACATTATGGAGCCTGAGACAATAAACGAGGAACTGTAGATGTTTTGATAGGTTAACTTGCAGGATTGATCATCGATAGGTCAACCATAGAATTTCTCATACTGGTAACATCTTTGCAAAAACAATGATAGTCGATATTACAGTATTTTGTTTTGATAGGTTAACTTGTAGGATTGAGCATCAATAGGTCAACCATCGATGTACTCATACTGGTAACATCTTAGCAAAAACATTGATAGTCGATATTATTTTGTTTCGATAATAAACTCTGCCATGCTGTGAATTGTTTTAAATAAAAAGTCTTTGAAGGAGGATTGGTTTTCTGTGGTTACTAATGCTGAAATATAGTATCAGACCAGGCAACTTGGGGAAGATAAGAAATGAGAAGCAAGAAAGCTTACTGGAGACTCAAACAATAAATTTCTAATCTGAGAGTTTCATTTTCATATACTTTCCAAGAAAAACAATTTATATAAATCTTTTTCAAGTAACCATTTTGCTATGGAAAATGGTAGGATAAGTTCTTTACACTATCATTATACCTGTAAAATGCAAACTGCATCGCCATCTGGATAAAGCTATCAGGACTGAGTTTTTGGCTCTTGATGAAATCTTTTCCGTACTTGTCAAAGGAAAACGCTTGAGCTTCTAAATTGTTGATCAAACTGTGAACAAAGGCAAAACAAAAAATATTTTGGTGAAATTAGTAATGGTCGAATCCAGGAATTTTGAATCTCAAGTATATACTTAAAAACATAAAATAATATAATCCCGGGATCCACAAGCCAGACAATAAAATAATAAAGATACCCCCGCCGCAGCAAACCTGCCGACTAAGCAATTTCCATTTGTCTGAATTGATTTTCAGTTAAATATATTTTAATAACATTAGGTTTAACAAGTACCTAGGTTTGCTGCAACAAGGAAACTAATAAAGTGTGTTTTTGAGTAAAATATTGATAGCTTAGTACAAAATAAATAAATTTGCCAAGTTTGATCAAAATATATCCATAAACAAGCAAACTACAACATTTGACAATATTCTCCATAAGAATAACATGGGAATTTTAAATTTACAATTTTTTTTTAATTTTCTTCGTTACTAATAATTGAATAAAAATACTTTTATATACTAAATTATTTGTTTTTTTAAGCTCTTTAAAACGGTCTAAAGAGAAATCAGGAAATTTTGTGTTTTGAGGGTCAAAAGTGAGAAAAACCAATTTTTACCCCATAAAACCCCCCGTAAAGCCCCGTTCCCATGGTCCGATCGTGCTGGTTCGCGAACTCATTCAAGTTTATCCTGCCTTACACCTTCAAACCAAATTTCATCAAAATCGGACAAAAATTACTCAAGTTATCGCGTTCACGGACGTATATATATATATATAAGTCTATATATATATATACATATATAAAAATTTTAACGAATGGTGTTTTTGGCCTCTGGGGACATCAAAATGAAAAAGTAAATCGGTCCCGGGTCTAGGTCTTACCATGCCACCTACGGTAATAGCTACTTCCCTATAGGGAAATTCGCTAAAAACCAATTTTTACCCCATAAAACCCCCCGTAAAGCCCCGTTCCCATGGTCCGATCGTGCTGGTTCGCGAACTCATTCAAGCTTATCCTGCCTTACACCTTCAAACCAAATTTCATCAAAATCGGACAAAAATTACTCAAGTTATCGCGTTCACGGACGTATATATATATATATAAGTCTATATATATATATATATACTAGCTGTAACCCGCGGGCTTTGCCCCGTTTAACTTCTTAATTTTCAAGATTATCTCGTTCGCATGGCTCAATCACGTCCTGGTTGAAGTTTGTTCGCTACGCTCACTCACCTTTAGGTTGGAGCTCGTTCGCTGCGCTCACTTGCCTTCAGGTTAGCTCGTTCGCTACGCTAACTCGCCTCCAGGTTGAAGTTCGTTCGCTACGCTCACTCACCTTTTGGTTGCAAATTAGCTGTTGTCATAAATGTAAAAGAAATAATAGTGCTGCACCCTGTTGGTAATTTTTGTAACTTTAATGCTATTGAACATCACAGAACAGAACCAACTTGTTTAATTGAAACAGCTGTTAAGATTCAATAATTTCATTTCTCATAAGGTTAACATGGGAAACTCCAGAGCCACTGGGGCGGAGCCCGAAAGGATTTTTGAAATAAGAATATGCCTATATGTTAATCGGGAATGTGAGCTATCATCATGCCAAATTTCAGCCCAATCCGACCAGTATTTTTCGCGTTCACTTGTCACAAACATACATCCATACATCCATACATCCATCCATCCAAACTTTCTCATTTATAATATTAGTAGGATTAGTAGGATATATACATATATAAAAATTTTAACGAATGGTGTTTTTGGCCTCTGGGGACATCAAAATGAAAAAGTAAATCGGTCCCGGGTCTAGGTCTTACCATGCCACCTACGGTAATAGCTACTTCCCTATAGGGAAATTCGCTAAAAATTAAAATTACAGTTGAATAAAGCCTAGATAACAGCCAAGGAAATTGATGTTTTGATTTCTGAATAGTTTTGTTAAAGTAAAAGAATAGCACATCAGATGTGCTATTCTTTTACTTATTTCAGTCAACTACTTAATACATACATACAAGCAAACATTTCTCATATTAGAGTATAAGATTTCAAACATTTCTTTTACATGACCATTATGAACGTACTTTTATAAATTCCTTAAAAACCTAATTGATTACAGAACATTATGGGTAATCAATTTATTTCTTACTTTTAGCCAGGGGGGGGGTGCAAGTGCACCTCCCTGTGGGCGCCCATGCCTAGATTGCTCATCTATACCTCCTTGAACTGCCATGTTTTATGGCAGTTTAAAACTATTTAAAATTTGTTTAGGCCTATTGTGTTGCTCGGCCTATTGGCATTGTGACTTTAAAACAAAACATAAATGCTCCTTGTTTCCTAGCCGCTGTTTTAGTTCCTGAAGAAAAATGTTTTTTAATATTTTTAGGAAAAATAAAAGTTATTCCCTGTGTATGATTAATAATCTATAATTAATATGCCAACACGAAATTTGTCATTTGATCTCCTTCCCCCATGTTTGCGTACATTTTATAATTTAAAAAATCAAGAAAGCTTGCGGATATGAGTGGAAAACCATTTGTAGAAAACACTAAAACCAAGATCAGCTTTTGAAAAGTGATAAATTATCTACAAGAAATGTTGATTATATCGAACTTGTATGGACATTATTAGTATTTTCATTAGTTAAATAATCTTTTAAAAGTTGACTCTTTTAAACTCATTATGAGTGGAAATTATGAGTGTTGTTCGTTTTCAAACAACTCCTGTAATACTTTGCAATTGCTCAAATTCGAGCAACATGTACACTAGTATTTATTAATTGATAATTGAATAAGTTGATACTTACTTTTCTAAGTTTGATGCCGACGTTTTTATAGCTTGTTTGATCTCTTTATTCACGTTAAATCTTAACGGGACACAGAGATTTGTGGGAGTCGTGTGATCGCCTTGTACTTGAGCTGATTTGTTTGATTCTCTGAAAAAGAATACAATTCATCTTTGAGACAAAATGTTGTGGATCAGTCACCAGTTAATTACCAAAGTTAAAAACGGTCGTCAGTTTCATCCGTTGTGTGACAACGGCAATTGTAAACGTTTGGGCATGCTATAAAAAGAAACAGATAAGATAAACAAGGAAAGTAATGAATAATAGTTTAGGAATTTTAGTTTTAACAGTTCAGATGACCTTGTGTACCAGATGTAGCATTGAACATTGGCCTAGGCTGTTGCTACTCTACATACAGAGAAATAATTTTACAGCTCTCTGTAAAGCCAGTTCCACGTTATACCTTATGCTTACTAAATTTACTCTAAAAAAGATAAAGCAGTTACATTCTGGTGTAAATCATCTCAATTAAATTAGTACAATGTGATTTATTATTGCTGTCCAATGTGCTGTTAATTTAAAATACAAATGAAATCAAATCAATCAGTTAGATTTTTCAGATAGATTGATTGATGTTCCATATTTTGTGAACTATTTGGTTTATTGGTCTATAACAGATCCCCACATCATATCACTAATGGACTCAAAATTGAAAAACAAGATGCATAGTCAAAGCCTTTTTATAATTTAGATTGAACTTTAGGTAGAGCTTATTGCCAAAATATTGTAGGCCCCTAATCACAAGCTGAATTATTTTAGTGTTGATTACTAAATTTATTTGAACTCACATATAAGACATTATGTGATCGACAATTGAAGCTATGGGTTGACCCTCTGCAGGACTATGTTCATAGGTCAATCCAACTCTCCCCTCCTGGCTCACTAAGAACTGAGAACAGAGTAAATATCTATGTAAGTAAATTTTATTGATTTAGAAAAACATTAATATGTGTGTTTATTCAATTTAATTGGTAAGAGTTAAAATTAAAATACTTTAACACAGCTGCACTTGAATCTACTTGCTCTTTTTTCAGTGCTACATACCCTACACAACAATAGATTAAGTTTCAACATCAGGTTTTCATGTGAGAATAACTTAACTACTAGAAAGCTTTTGTATTGCACAAAACTAAAATTTTACCATAACAAGGCTTACCATTATATGTTTCATTGGTTTTGAGGAAAAGCAAAAAAAAGTAGGAGATTGGACACGGCCTAACCTGGGCCCAGAACTCTCCCTCCCCTACATAATGTTTAAGATTTATTGTGAAAAAAACTGCAAAGAAAGTTCAAAAGTTGAATCCCTTGTTTATATTTCAAAAGTAATCACAATGATCATCCAAGATAGTTTTTCTTTGATGTGACATTCAAACAAAATGTTAAAATATGGAAAACATAATACAATATTTTAGGCATATCCGTGTAAAAGGTTGATAAAGCAAACCATAACCTACCAACTACAAAATCAAACTAGTGTACAAAAACTGATGCTATACTGACGGCTAAAAAACTATCAAACTTGTTTGATCATAGGTATTCTTAGTGTAAGTAAAAAAAAAAAAATGTTATTATTTCTTATTGAAATCAAGAAACTGTATGTTTTGTTAAATGACATGACCAATGCATGTATATGTTATTTTGGTTAAATAAATGACTTATTAACTGATCGAAGGATACATAAAGAAGCAAACAGAAACAACATAAATGTATTGATCCCTAACCTCAACTTGTTGTCAACACCAAAGAAAACAATATCAAGGAAACTTTTGTTCAAGTGTTTACAAATTCTAATCCGTTTATTTATAACCTAAAAATAACAGACATTTTTAAAACCATCAACTGTTCACCACAGCAAACATATTGTAGACAGTCATTAAAAAGAGAGCTTTCATTGCAGATGTCTAATAGACCTAGTGGTGGCCATAACATAAATCAGCAAGTTAACATTCAAGAAAAACTTATGAATAATTATATGAAAATTTATTTTACTCACGTAGAGTAAATACTCGTCATATCACTACATTTCAATACCCAAAACAACTTACCTGAATGGTCTTGTCGTACCAGCGGTTGCCGCCGTTAGACATGACTCCGTTACCGTGTATCGTCTGCAGCCCACACATGGTGCGGTCGTCAACCCCCTCCTCACCTGAGGCGTCGTCCAGACACAACACAAACAACGCACTTTCAATGCTCTTTAACGTCTCAGCGTTACTGGGATCTGGAAAAACAAAAGATTTTGATGAACCGTTAATTCAACGTGGGATTAATGTTTTGCAAAACTGTTTGTGTAGTGTTGAAAGCTATTGTTGATATTTGTCTCTATAGCCTAAGGTTATTTTGTAAGAAGCAGTTGGCTTTGAATTCAATTAATTCAGGAAGACAGGAAATGCAATATGAAGTCACCTCATTAAAAATGATTTGTGAATTATTGATTGCATGGTGAGATAGTTGCAGGTTAGCTATCAATATTGCTTTGATATTGTTTTGTTATTACATTAACAACTGAAATATTTGCTTGGTCTGTTATGGCAATTTGAAAAAAACATAGTTGCAATTTGTACTAATCCACCAATTCACTCAGCAATATAATTGCTGAAATATTCTACCCTACAATAAATCTAAATAGCTGTGTGTTTTCTGTGGTGAAATATACAATTAAGCACAATGTTAACAGAATCACATTTGAATTTTAAAGTGCCCACAACAGTATATTCACTAGTCGGAAATATTTTCTTCAGCAAATCAGCAAAATCAGATCAAGCAATAGGACACATGTCCTTGACTTCAGCTCATTATTTTTTGCTTTAAGAATAAAAAGAACTACTTTAGCTCAGCAAAGCTTGTAGTAAAAAAGTATATTTTCACTGTAGTTTAGCAAAAAACTGTTACAATATGTAGGTATGTGAGCAATAAATTTCTTGGCCTGTTACCATAGAGGTAACACTTTAGATACAACTCACCTTTTACAAGAAGTTGGTAGTTTTCACTCCAGACATCTCTGTGGTCCGAAGTCAGGACTCCGACTGGAGCAACATTGTGATCACACATGTCCACAATTACAGTTAGTGCTTCATAGATTTGCTGTTGACTACACGGAGCATTATCATCTGATATTACATTCAGCTGGAATATCTGGAAAACTATAATCTATAAACATTCATCACAAGTATTTTAAATGAGTCTCATAAATTATTCACATATAGTTTGTAAACAGTGGTTAGAAACACGGATAAACAGAATTAATAAAATATTTTGTGAATCATAACTTCTCGCTGCAAGTATGAAAAATTTCTGTATGTGGTCCTGGTTTGTGCAATTCCAGTCCACTCTGTATTTAAGTTACCACTAAATTTAACCAATGTCGAAATGCCAACATGCAACATCTCCAAAGATTCAGAAAGAGCTGCTTTGTTGCGTCAATGTAATTTAATAGTTTGGGATGAGTGCACCATGGCCCACAAAGGAGCTTTAGAGGCTTTGGATCGATCCCTTTGTGACATTCGGGGTAGCAACACATTGATGGGAGGCTTAGGTGTTTTGATGGTTGGGGACTTCAGAATTTGACGTTATTGCATTTGATCAATTTTAAAAAATGCACACAATTACTCCCAAATGATGACTCTCGGTCGGTATCTTAAAGGTTTTGCAGTTTTGTTGCATTTTCTAAAATTAACTGATGGTTAGTGTGTCTGAACAGTCAGAAAAGACTGAAAATCTGTCGCAGTCATGTGTCTGCCTCTGCACTTCGCGACATGAACGTGAATCACCTTCACTGCTAACCACCACGCGCCCGCTGAAGCCCCAGGCACGTGCCCAGTGTGCCTTATGGCGCCACTGACCATCTATGCAGCATATAAGAGACATTTTTTTATATTTCTACAGTAATATCACTGTACTTACATTATTGTTATGCATGACAACAATATGTCTCGAGTCAGGGTGATAAACAATTTCATCTCTAGGTATCCTTGGTAAACGACAAGTCCCAAACACTTTCTTGTATTGTGCCATATCCAGTGGGTCTTTCCCCATCATCTCTGTTTGTAGCTTGTCACTGCAATAAGAAGTACAAATAGTATGCCTATTTGTTTTTATTTTGTCACTTGAAATAGTGACATAACTTATGTTATGAAACAATGACTCATACTTGTATTACATTTCAGTGAAACTAATAGAATGCCACACTCTTGGGAAAATGCCCATCCGTGAATATATTGGACTTCAAGAACACCAGACAACCAAGAACCAACAAAATAAAAGGTAACCTAAAACTTTTGATTTACAATTTATTTGATATGTTTTACGGTTTTACTTACTTATCAATGAGTGATTTAAAGTCCAGCACAGCAAGGACCAACTTAGCAGCGAACATGATTTGCTCCTCAGGAGATTCAAAGTGTTGCCTTGGCATTACCAAGCCCGGACTGGAGAAGACAACGACTGAGGATCGATACTCTAAATAGGCTGAGTTTAACCACCAATCAGCCAGCTGAAAAAATCACACACTTTAATGATAAGAACTATAACCTCAAAATATTATATCAAAACTACAAAATACTATAGGGGAACCGAACTGAAACAGTTGGATGAATAAATTAGTTAAAAGCAGAATAAAGATAGTTTTACTCTAAAGTAAAATAATTAACGACAAACCCAAGTGGTAGAGCTGGTAGCTTTAATGTATGTATGTAAAAATAAAAATAAAAAATAGTACATTTAAAACTCCTTTTTTCCAAGTTTATATTTCCATTTTGTATTTGTAGCCAACTTTAGGCTGCCATTATTTAAGAAGTATTTTCAAGAAGTACATAATAACAATTTGTAGGAAATTTTATTGTCTCTCAGAATATCACCTTCCACTTTGGTTGATTTCCTCACCATTTCAAAGTTATTTGCAAAAACGTTAAGCAAACTCAAAATTTAAAGTAGTGAGAAAATACTGAATTAAAGATGTTGTTGTTAAGCTCTGTACAATTAAATCTACAGTTCTACTGAACCGATTTTATTAATTAATAGGTCATTGGATAGCCTAATTTGTGAAGATTTGCAAATAATTATGAAAGTACGGTTGAGGTTGCAAACAAGATCGATGATAAATAACTCAATTTTTTGAACAATTTGTGTTGGTTGTTATTTAGCTGTGTGCTTTAATGAAATGGAAGCTGGTATTTCAATGAAGGTTCTTAGGTCAAAACAAATAGAATAACGAAATTAGAATTAATTAAATATATCTATAAAAACTAAATTCCATATTCAAGATATAATCAAATTTATATTTTCTGATTGAGCAATACAGTATTTTGAACTTAACTGATTAAACTATCAATATCTCAAGTGAAAGCCATTGAAGTATTTTAAGACAAAGACATATAAAATAACTTAAATAAAAATAGATTTACGTATCATTGATTGCAGATAGGTACTAAAACTATTGTAATTATTGTTGATTCGTGATTCAGCAGTGTGCTTTAGGTAGTCCGATCTTAATAATCAATAGCTCAAATGAGAGTTGGTACTTCAGGGTTTTAGACCAACATGTATAATGTAATTAGAACTGCTATGATACATCGTTAATTGAAGTGAATAAAATGCTTTCGTCGATTAATACAATAGATAAATTAATGATGATGCTTGATGACAAATATGTGCTTGCATAGCTTTATTTTAAGACAAAAATTATTAAAATCGGGCGGGTAGAAGAGCCCTCCTGTAAACCATCGCCCGCCTGCAAAACATTGAACTCGAAAAAAACCAAATTTAACTCCCGTAGGAAATGTACAGGGAGGCAGTTTGTGCATAACTTGAAATATACGTCAAAATGAATGCCGATGCTTGATGGCAAATCTGCGGTACGTCCATACCTTTTTAAGGCCAAAATTATGAAAATCGGTTGGGTATAAGAGCTAACACGACTCGGAAAAGAAAACCCATTTATTTTTATAGATGGCAATAATTAGTTTACCAGTATGCATAATCTAATCATACGAAACATTTATTAATAATTCAACAGCTTATTGTTATCCAATTAATTTTTTCTTTGATTAAATGTTGTTGTTAAAAAACAATTTGCATTTGTGTTTAAAGTGTGTTCCTTATGTTAATTGTGTGATTCTAATGTTATGTGCTTAAACTGTACCATTAATTGTCTTACAGTAGGCCTACAATAGTCTCATAAACTTATAACGCTGACCGAAAAGGTGCTGAGGTTGAGAAATGTTGGAGGAAAAGGGGTAGGTAAGAAATTCTCTTATTGACAATATCTTAATTTGCAACACTACAATATTAAAATACGTAAATTTCAATTGTTGAAGAAAAAAACATGACCTCCTTTTTTCATAGGATTCAAGGTTGTGGTGTTGACTAACAGACTGACTAGCCAGGGAAGTGTTAAGCGTTTCAGTCGTCAGGTTTGCTTGTCTTGCATATTCTGGTTTTAACTTATTTCCAACTAGCAACAGTGCCCGTTGTGGTTAAATACAACGGTCTCTAGTAAAATAACGGATATGAAATCCATACACCACTTTACTCACTAATATTAATGGTACAGTTTAAGCACATAACATTAGAATCACACAATTAACATAAGGAACACACTTTAAACACAAATGCAAATTGTTTTTTAACAACAACATTTAATCAAAGAAAAAATTAATTGGATAACAATAAGCTGTTGAATTATTAATAAATGTTTCGTATGATTAGATTATGCATACTGGTAAACTAATTATTGCCATCTATAAAAATAAATGGGTTTTCTTTTCCGAGTCGTGTTAGCTCTTCTACCCAACCGATTTTCATAATTTTGGCCTTAAAAAGGTATGGACGTACCGCAGATTTGCCATCAAGCATCGGCATTCATTTTGACGTATATTTCAAGTTATGCACAAACTGCCTCCCTGTACATTTCCTATGGGAGTTAAATTTGGTTTTTTTCGAGTTCAATGTTTTGCAGGCGGGCCAACCTTCTTAAATGGTGTTTGTTCCAAACTGAGTCCTACTCTGCACGTACCCAATTTTCATGTTTCTCTGCCCTCTTGATCAGCAGCTGCTGGAGCTGAGAGCCAACGCCACCTGGCTCACCAAACTGGCGAAACACAGTCTCAGTCTGTGCCAGCTGTTCAGGTGTCACTAGCGGCCGAATTGATCTATAATCATCAAACCTTAGGGTGCGTTCACAAAGAAAGCTGGTTACAAGTAACTTACTTTCAGTGCTTGTTCCAAGCGCTTGAGAATGTTGTTGTGTGTTCACAACAAACGCTTGCATTTCAAGCTCAGTGTAGTCTCAGCTGCAGCTCTGGTTGAGACAATATCTTCCTCAAGTGACGAAGAGTTATTTTTGATTGAAAATGTAGAATAAAAAATTCGTAGAAGGAAAGTAGGTTCTCATGCAATTAACCACGGAAGATGTAGGTTCGGAGAATACCACCATCTATTTCCTCAATTGAAATAGGTCAAAGTGAGGTTTTTTCTTATATATGAGAATGGAGTTAACCACGTTTAATTACATCCACAAGAAAAATGAAAGTGTTTTAGTGAAGTTTTGGGGGTGGAATTGGCATAAGCAACCTATCCATGCGCCAGAACAAATTTTGGACCAATAATAAAACCTAACAAATACTCGAAGGGAGTTTTAAACGACCCTATGTAGCTGATTAATTATGATGCAAATAATATTGTGAGATGTATTCAAATGTTTAAATGTTTTAGGTAAATAAAGTTAAAGTATACAAGTTTCATATATACGAGACCACTGTGCTGCGATAGCAAATATGGCCTGGAAAGGGGTTGAAGTCGAGCCTATTATGAGAGAAGCTGACCCTGCAAACAATGTGCCTGCTTTAAAAGCTGATTTTAAAGTTAATGGTATTTGGGAGGCTGAGAGAGTAGCGTTTTTTGATAATCGCATTGTTAATGCTGACGCTCCCTCTTACGCCAACCAAGAATGGGGAACAATATCTCGAAACCATGCCGTTCAGAAACACAATAAATATGACAAAGCAGCCGAAGACATCAGAGGAAGCTTCACACCATTAATATGTTCCACGGAAGGAGTCCCCCACAAAGAATATGAAGCGTTTCAGAGGAGAACAAGCGAAGCCCTGGCTGTAAAATGGAGAAAACCATACTCCCAAATTATCGGATGGTTGAGGATCCAAAGCCAGCTTTCCATCATTCGAGCAGTTTCGCTAAGGCTACGGGGAACTAGACGAAAAATTCGAAGCATTCAATTTGAAGATGGTGCCGCAATTCCCCCATTGCTCTATTGAGCTTTCATTTTATTTTTGTTAAACATTTATATTTGATTGAAAATCATAGTAATATGTTGAATTGTTTGAAATGTATAAATAAAGTTTTATTGTTTATTAAAAAATAAAAAAAAAAACTAACACTTAATTAATATTGAATTAAGTTTGTTTGTCCATCATCTTAATACAGTACATGTATGTTATATTTATCCTATTGGTTACGTTATTGAACATTCTAGGGAAAAAACCACAATACGTGGGTAATATATTTTTTTGGAAATTGGAAGCTCTAAATACTTGAGCTTTCAACTCATCGACATCCATACCTCACTGTTAGTTGTTTGTTGTTAGTTGTTGTTTGACTGGTTCGGTCAACAAGTACGAAACGTTCTTGCGTGCTTGTCAGAGCTTGTAACAAGCGCTTGCCAGCCGGCACAAGCTTTGTCTGTGAACGCACACGCTTAATACTATGTTGACTTTTCTCACACCGGTTCGAGATTGCAAGCGCTTGCCAACAAGCGCTTGTAACCAGCTTTCTTTGAGAACTTAATATAATAATGATTCTACTAGATCCAATTCAAAATGTAACTTAAGGTATTTGTCTGAAACAGTAGCCAAAAGCAAAAACTGATGTAAAAATACCTGATGTGATAGTTCCAGTTTTTTGTAATCTAAAAATAACTTAATAGGTAGCCTATACCCTAAACTAAGTTTGTTTGAAAATGTAGGCTACTTTTTACTTGGGTCCCGCTCAATGCTACTAATTATTGTTATCTACTCAAATCAAATTTATTATTGTTATTCATTGTAACACTTTTATTGATTTGTTTTGTTGTAACAGTTTTGTTTATTTTTACTTGTTTTGTTGCAACCGCTGTCTTTTTGCCATCTTTTTGCCGTTTCTCTTTTTTGTTGTTATCAATTGATTCTGATTCTTTGTTTTTCTCTCAACATCATTGTATTACTAGCTTTAAGTAGGCTAAGTCTTGTTTGTATTGCACTAATTTGTACGAAATATCAAAATGGAGCTGTCCGTTGGAATGTAAAATAAGTAAATAAAATTAAAATATTGAAAACCATTGGCATTAACTTATCAATTTGTATAGGCCTATATCGAAATATTAACTGTAAGAAAACAGTGGAAATATAAAGCTACCTATGATAGTATAACCCTATAGATATAATAGCAAGGATGGATCTGACTTTATTTCGATTTGATGGTGAAGTTGAGAACAATAAGTGTACGGTATGACCAATGTGCTACTTAAGCTACCTAACCAAGTGCAAAATCGTAATGTCTAAACTTATTTATTTAGCCTACCGGTACTTATTATCTCCACACCTTTTGCCATTTTACATTACATAGAGGATACGCGTCCGGTAACCGGACGTGGATAAGGCGTCCGGCAATGACGTCATGGGGTTGCGGGAGCCTGGAACGCCATTACCACAACAATACAATGATCAGCCATCGGTGGTCGTGGTGTAGTGGATAAGGTGCTCGGCTGATATGCAAGAGGTCCAGGGTTCGAATCCCATTGGTGACTTTAACTTTTTGTCGAAGATTTTGCATTGAATACCATTTCTTCTTAACTATACATCTTTTGTTAGAATTTTTGGCATTTAGGCCTATAATTTTTGTTTAGAAAAAGAATTTAACCTTAATTCGATTTTTTCATTATCAGCAAGTTTGGTTGGTTAGGTTAGGTTATGACAGTAATTGCTGGACGTCTAATCCACGTCTGGTTACCGGACGTGTATCCTCTGCCTTAAGTTAACTTTAACTTAATTATGTCAATAATAACTTAACACTTAATAACTTAATCCTTATGAACTAATATACAGTACAATAAGTGAACTTATTAATAAATTAAAGAACATGGTTTTCAAAGACAACTTTGCATAAAACCGTGGCGAATATTCCACATAAGAATAAACAATGCGAACATACATGAATAGTTAAATTATGAATGGAGTAAAGAGTTAACATTGAAAAAAAAACTGTAGGTACCCAAGTGAATATATATATATATATATTAGTTAGTAATTTTCCTGTAATAATAATGAGTTCATTACCTGAGACATTTGTTGAGGGTGTCTTGAAGCTGAGGAACAGGCAGTCGAGGAAGTTGAGCAGAGCTTAAGTTACGAACCAATGCAACAGAGGACTGTGACCTAGCAAATTTAAAGCAAAGATGCATTTTGCCAAGTTATATTACTAAACTCTAAACTAATGTTACAAAAGATACATTATAGCTTTATTCATAATCTGAGTTAGAGCTTAAACATTTGTTTATTTTGACAATAATTAATTTAAAGTGCTATGGGGAAATAAATCTTTAACACTGGGTTTGTAATTAAGAAAAATAGCTATATTAGTTCTTTTATAAATTCTTTTATATTAAAAGCTCTAATTGTAAAATCAAAGATAAGCAAAGAAACAATAACGACAAATGTAACATAACCAAACTACTAGTATTTTGACAGGAGAACGTATGAATAGAGAATGACTATCAAAAAGAGTCTGTACACAGTAGTACCAACACTAAAAAATATTCAACTCGCCGTCCGCCGAATGTGAAAAGCTTCACCGATATGGTGAAGCACTTTCCATTAATCATGTAGATAAATGAACCAATTACGCATTGGAGCGTATGTGTACAAAATACCCCCGCCGCAGCGAGCCTGCAGACTAAGCGAATTTCCTGATTGGATTTACACTAAAATGTATCATTAAAAATATCACATTTCATGCCTATTTAAATAGAATTTAGTTTAACGACTACTTAGGTTTGCTGCAACAGGGAGGGTAAAAAGTGTTTTTTAATGTAAAATGTTAAAAGGTACTGTAGTTTAGTAAGAAATTAATGTATTTTCCAAATTTGATGAAAATATGTTCATAAACAAGCAAACTACAACAGTTGACTTATTCCCCATAAGAATAACATGGGAGTTTTAAAATTAAATTCTTTTCAATTTTCTCCGTAACCTATTTCCGTGTAACACTTGAATATACTAAATTATTTTTTTAAGCTCTACAAAATGATTTAGAATAATAAATTTTAAATTTTTTTGCTTTTAGGGTCAAAAATGGGAAAACCCTATTTTTACCCCATAGAACCCCTCATAAACCCCCGTTCCCATAGTCCGATCATGCTGGTTTGCGAACTCATTCAAGTTTATCCCGCTTTACACCTTTAAACCAAATTTCATCAAAATCGGACAAAAATTACTCAAGTTATCGCGTTCACGGACACATATATTATATATATATATAGATATAAATTTGAACGAATGGTGTTTTTGGCCTCTGGGGACATCAAAATGAAAAAGTAAATCGGTCCCGGGCATAGGTCTTACTATGCCACCTACGGTAATAGCTACTTCCCTATATGGGGAAATTCGCTAAAATCATTTGCCATGAAAAAATAGTTTCGCTCTGTTAGCAACTAACTTCAGTACTTCAGTAGCTTCATTTCCTTTCCTTTGATTCCTGGCAACCTCCAATCATTTATCGAGCTACAATCTATGCTAGGCCCTACAATGAGCTCCACACTATCCAGTGACGGCCTCACCTATAAAAATAAAAATAGGCGTTATTCAAGGTAGTTTAATACTGTAGACCCATTATACACTTCCTGATACACTTCGGTGTATTATTTTATAAATGGTGATACAAAATTACAAAATAATATACAAAATTTGATGATCGCCGATCGAGTTGTAGGGGGCCCCTTCGCTTGGGGCAAAAATACAATAAATGATATAAAAAATCTTGTCCTTAACGTAGAACGTAACTTGTACAATTGTGTTTGGTTAAATGCAGATTCAATGGAGTTCTAATACGTTGGAAAATTAATGAATTATATTTTAAGCAGGTGTTCCACCACTGTATCTAGTACCACAACTATCACAACATCATCTCTGACAACATTTATTATAGATCCAATTTTCTCTAAAATCGTCTTATATTCTGCTGTCATAGCATTTATGTTCTTATAAATAAATCAATTTGTTAAAATGCATTTTAGAATGTTTTATACTTAAATCCAACAAAGACCCAACGATTCTTTCCTTTGTAGGGCCAACAAATATAGTTTCCGTTGGGCCAACGTTGGCAAGGAGTTAAAATTTCCTCCAACCATTTCCCAACCGTGCCGACCATTTCCCAAAGTTGGGCCACCAATGTGTGCTACTTGGGTATGCATTTAAGTACATACCCCTAGAGGAACCTTTTTGCTTATTTTAACCCAATAAACCATTATGAAGTTTAGTGACGGACTTTACAGACCAGACACCCTGTATTGTAATAATTGACAGTGGCATATGACAACAATTTCTACAATGATGATAGCTGATAAAAAATCTCCTAAAGTGCACAGTAAAATGTTATAGTAGTAGGTTTGTTTATGCCAATGGTGCAAAATTGGTTTGTTAACTACTAATATGATATTGTGTTGCCGATATTTATTGAATATTTCATCAATATTTAAACTAAGTTGATAATAACATTTTTCTATAGATATTGTTCAATATTGGAAAGGAATTAAAACAATATTGTTTGAATATTACCTTAACAATATTGTTTTACAATATTGAACAATATTGGGAACATATCGAAACAATATTGTTTTAATATTGAATTATAATATTTATCACCAATTTTGTACAATATTGGCAAAATATCAAAACAATATTGTTTTAATATTGAAGAAATCAATATTGTTGTAAATATTGGACAATATTGTTTCAATATGATGAAAATATTTTTTTGCTACTAGGGTAGTTTAATTTACTTTAATTTTCCAATTCAGTAGCCACTGGGACAAATCGTCCAATGCAGCCTGAAGGTTTGATGATGCCAGAAAAGGATCCTGATTTGATGATAAAAAAGCAGTGTCGTCTGCAAATGTTGCGACTGTAATTTTGTGATGTATTTGATTAATAATTCTGCAAACACTACAAAGAACAAAGCTGAAGTGAGTAATGTTGTATTGAACGTTGTTTCTGTTGTGTTTAGAAATTAAATAGAGCTACATAACAAGAATCATAATAACAACATAAAAAAATAATAATTTAATGATTAATCTGATAAGGGAGAGGGGCCAAAACAAACGGCAGTTTACATAGAAATTGAAAAGCTTTGACGTCACGTTCTTTTGAAAAGACCATATGCAAACAAAACTACACGGCTCGCACTGATACAAAATGTTCCAAAGGTGATCACCATGGGTTTATGGGTTTAGATCAGGGTGTTATGAACACTCCAAGATTACTGACTCGACCGGCTATCCTAATAAAAACTGAAACTGAATCAATGCAAATGTTGTATTTGTTATTTTGGTTTAATAAATGAGTTATGAGTTATGAGAGTTAATTTACTTCCTGTAAACAGTAATTTTATTAAATGAACGGGTCTGTCTCGATCTAGAGAATTACATAAAACTAGACACTTGGCTTTGTGGCACTTTTTGCAGATTTTCTATGCAAATAAAGATAATTTGATTTGTAGCAGCATAGTTTTAGAACATTAATTTGTCAGTGATCGATTAGTTTTATAAGTGCTACCGTGTTAGTATTAAATGCTAAAGCGGAATGGGTGTTGGCGGCACTGCTTCCACCGCTTAACAAAACTTCGTTCTTCCGGAATCTGACCCTTTTTGGAGAAGTGGTGCTCGTAGAGGTCCTGTCAATTATCTTTCTCCATCTTTCAAAATGCGTATCTACAAGGACATATTTACAGGTAAATAGATTTTATATTACATTTGGATGATTCTACAAATATAGTTTCTTAATGTGATGTAATTTTTCTAGTAAAGTACCTATTTATGTCATACAGTTGGAACCCCCTCCCCCTCCAAGGCCCTGTTGACAGATGCGTTTTGATCTTTTCATTATTAAATTAATTTTGATTAGTCAACATAGCTTTTAATCTCCTTATAGATCTAGGTTACTTCGAGGACAAATACTAACGAATGTCATAGCCTAGGCCAACTTAAAGCTCTGGCAGGCTTATAAGACAAGACCAAGCTTGACTAGGTTAGGCCTAGGCCTAACTTAGCCTAGCCTAAGCATTTAACTTACATATTTTATAAACTGTCGAGACTGTGTTTGTTAATTGTCCTTCAATCTCTGTTTTCTTCTCTGGTTATGGTCATCGGTAGGCTAAAGATAGGCTAGTTGTGCAGTATATTTAGTAACTTACTGGTAAGCTACAAGTTAAGTACCTTAGGCCTAGGTGCCTCCAAACGAATTTTCAATTTAGATATTTACTTTATAGCCTACTTAGTTTTTTACCTCCTGAATCCAAATATACTTAAGCTGAAGTAGGCTACCTAGCCTACCATTAAGTACCAAGCACTGCTGATCACCTTAAAAATAAGTTGTTATAGCCTAACTTACAACATTACAATAGGCCTAAGTTAACCCTCCGAGCGTCACTTGTCGAAAAATCAACTCACGACACACTTTGTGTTGTCACTTGTCGATTTTTCGACACACGAACATCGTTTACGTCGAAAGCTCTATGACTGACTGAATCGGATTGAACTGGATCGAGTTAGGTATCGTTCTTTTTGTTAGATTGTAAGCTTTCTCTGGAGGTCTGTCTCTAAGCGCTTTTCATTTTAGTTCCGTAAATATTGTAGCAGACAGCTGACGAGCGTATTTGTAAACAGCTTGGTTAACCTCGGACGGCTGCACTTTACTTGACGTCCTACACTCATTCGAATGAAAATATCGATCGATATATCAAATAATCGATTGCTTCATTCGATATATTGTTTGGTTAGTTAGGTAAGGTTAACCTAACCTAATTAACCAAACGATATTATCGAATGAAACAATCGAATGTAAATATTGATTGAAAAAACAATCGAATGAGTGTAGGACGTCAAGTAAAGTGCAGCCCCTCGGACCGATGACTGATGTGTTTTATTACGTTTATCATTGTTTTAGTGTTAAAAATCAAAAGTAGTGATATACGTGGTGCATTATAAGAAGATTTAAGTGATTTTGAAGGGCTGGTTGATGATCCTCAAGAAGTAGGTAGTGATATTGATGTAAATTACCAGCCAGATTCCTAGCTATGGTTAGGCTATGCATTCTTAGCTAAACGCTATGTACTGAAATCTGTTTTTCACTCATAACTTATTTATTTGATAACTTACCTCACTACATGATTATATATTTGTAAATCCTCATAAAATTTAGAACAAAGTGGCTATTTTCAAATATTTATAGGAGGCCTATACTTAATTTATACAATTTCATTGAGCGCAAACTTATTTATTTTTTTTTCCAAAAGTTTTTTTTTACCTAAAAACTTTTTTTTACTAATGTTCCATATTTTTTATGTATAATATTGAAGCCCATGATTTTCTAAACAAAATGGTATATAGAACAGTAGAATTAACATTGTTTTAAGCTTCTCAGATCCGTTTTAATAAAACCTTGCAAATGCGCCAGAAATAGGCGGACATTAAGGCCTAAACTATGGACACTCGGAGGGTTAAACAAGGTAGAATTAGAAGTGGAATGAACTGTGGGAACTAAGCCTGACTGTTTTCAACTGAAAGATAAGCAACTGGAAGAAACAACTTTTGAACTTTTACTTATTATACTTTATAAGTTAGGCTACTTTACTCTTCTTTGAAATGGCGACCATACAAAGTAGGTATTTTAAGCCAAGTATGAATGGAGATGATTGTATGATGAGTTTCGCGATCTTGTAGTCTTGTTAGTGACTAAGGCCGACATATTCCTTAAAGACAGCTGTTAATTAATAGCCCATACAGCTAATGGCGACTAAGGGACCTACAGTTTGTAGTGGAATCCGAACCACTTATTTTTCCATGGTATATAATTATTAAACTTTACTCTCTCCGATTCTGTCATCGGCAATAAACTTACAGTAGGCCTAAGTTAACCTTCCATCGGGCGCATCACGGAAGTTACCTCCGTCTAACTACTTTTTTCGTTTTAAAAACCATAAGGTAAATGCCCCAAATACCAACACCCTAAGACTCAATTCAAGTTTACATCTGCAAATAAATAATTATAGGTTATGTTAAGCTTGAGTATTATGGAGTTAATAATTTTGCCATGATATAAACTCTCAGATTACATAAATAGATAAAAGAAAAACATCCAATTAACAGTTTTTAAGCATCTTAAAGTTGGGGAAACACTCTTTGTACTTTTCTGGAAATACCGACAGCAATGAAACAAAATACCGACACCTCATGTCCTAAATACCAACATTATCATTTTAACACCAATTTAAGAGAGAACAGGAACATTATCATCATAATAAAGTATTTTTATTGAAGTTTGTGTATTCATTTAACCTATTCCACAACTTTATTTCAATATTTTGTCCCTATCCATCCCAAAAAGTAAAAGTTAAGACTTGAACATTCTCCAACTTACGGTAACTATGGTAACTTACTTCCCAATTTTATTGAAAACCACTTAGACAAAGTACGTAAAAATTTGTTTATGTTTGGCAAATGTAAATTAAGTAGTCTCTGTATTAATTATGTGCGAAATTGTAAACATATATCGACATCTGATGAAAATTCACTACGATGTAAGAGCAGCAGCAGCAGCCGACGCGACTGACGCTGGCAATGCTGTCTACAGCTGGAGCTGCCTACTTGATAAGCTGTTACGCAAGTTTCTGTGTTTAACTTATTCAATTATAGTACTGTATGACTTCTTTGGTAAAATATAATTCCAATAAAACTGGAACAAGTAAGTATTTAATGAAACATGAAAAAGTAACTTAAAACCATTGACGTATTTAAGTTTACATTTTGGATTGGCCTACCCTTAGTATTAAGATATTATTTACAAAAACATACAGAAAATACAAATACATACATATACAGAAATACAGCTACAGAAGTACAGTTACAGAAATATACACAGACAAATAGAAGAACAAATACAAATAGAAAATATAAAAATAAAACACGCACACACACACACAGATCTTAGAATGCTTTAAAATATTGTACAAATGTTAAAATACTCAAGCAAACACACACACTCTCTATCTCTTACAACTGAAATCTATAATGTCCACGCCGATCAAAAATTGGTTCACTTAAAATTGTGACAATTTCGTCGAGAGGAACCTCGTCGACGTCGTCATTCTCTGGCCAAACGAATGTATCTCCTACTTGGGCAAGAAATTGTATATTGCCAGTCTTCTCCTCGCCGTTGACATCAAGTAGCTGGCCTATGTACCGCTTGGTGCCATATGGAACAATCACCCACTTCCCAACACTAAAGTCCTCGAAGCAGAGCTTCGGATTCACAGGCACCTTGTCGATGTTGAATGCACTTGGTGCCATTGATACATCCAATCCTAGATCTTCGGAGTCGGACGAAAGTGGGGAAACATCTTCCTTTTCAGTCTTTTTTCTAGGCCCACTGACCTTTTCTTTTTTAATTTTCATGGCCACTTTTTTCATTTCTTGTTTTTCTCTTCTTTTTTGTCTTCTTTCTTCCATTTCCTTTTCTTTTTTTTCTTTTTCAGCCACCAATGTCTTTCGGTACTCCTTCCATTTTATACATGTTATTACTGAAGGGACTTTTGCCGTTTTTGTCCTCCTTTTAATCCCAGATTCCTTTTTGGGCCCAGGCCAAAATACGCAGTCTTTGAAGGGCGACGGAATACTGCTTGTGTCCTCTTGGACAGCAGATGTAGATGGCTGGGCGTCTTCTTGAACAGATGTCGATGGCCGAGATGTAGGGGTAACTGCCCTGGCACATGTTACAGGTGGGGTCGATCCAATGTTGGCAGGGATTTGTTGAACAGGTTCGGACACCACGGTAACAGGGAGATCGAGTTCCAAACCCATTGATACATCCAATCCTAGATCTTCAAAAAGTCCCTCGTCCACAAATATTTCTTCCTCTAATTCAATATTTGATGAACAATCGATGAGGACGTTTGGCTCTTGTTGGATTGTTGTGGGCATCATTGGATCTGGATCATCTGGGTCGTCTGGGTCGTTGCAGACAACCTCTTCCATATCAATGCGGGTACTATTTACAAAATCAAGAGGTCGATGTTCCTCAACAGAGTTTGTAGTTTTGTTAGAATCACTACAATTACTTTGGTCAATGCTTGTTTTAAGGTCTTGCCGAATGCTCCTCCACACTTCATACAGCGATTCATCACGACGCTTTATAGGTCCACCATGTCTAAACGCCTTTAACCTGTCATGGCCTATTTTCTTCTCAAGATGAGCGAGGCAGATGTTTACTCTCTCGGTTTCTACATTAGACTGTTGTGTTAGGGGTTTTGGGTTTTGGGCCAAGTTACCTACAATTTTGGTCATGTCAATGTCATTGACATCTAACGTAACTAGACCGCATGTTTTAAAACCATTCTGAATGGTTTCTGGCTTGATTGTCCTTTCAATCACTGACTGCAGCATCGGAGGAAAGTCTTCTTTCTTTAGCTTTTGTGAGGAGTGGTCAAACCTCCATTGGGACACTGCTTTTTTCCACGCATTTTTCAGTGGGTGGAAAACCGCGACGTCTAGAGGCTGCAGCAGATGTGTAGCATTGGGCAAAAGGGCGACAAGTTCAATCTTCTTTGAGGTACAAAACTCACTAAGCTCAAGAGACAGATGTGATACGTGGCCATCCATGAACATTATCACAGGTCTCGGAATATTATTTGCAGTTAGGTAAGGTTCAAATGTGTTGGCCATGTATTCAAAAAAA